GCACTGATTGGAGCTCACATGCCAGCAATATATTGGGGAGAAACTCTCACATATGCAGCATACACTATCAACCGACCACCGTCCAAGTCTCTTAAGTATAAAACACATCTTCAATAATTTACAGATGCAGTAGTAAGTCCTAAAATTACTAAATTAACACATAGAGTTTTTGAGTATGTTGCTTATGTTCACTTACACAAGCATCAGAGAAGTAAGTTGTCTCATGGAGTTGAAAGGTGTGTGTTCTTTGGCTATGCGGATCACCAGAAAGGATATCAGTGCTATAATCCACAAACCAAGCAAATGTTTACTACTATAGATGTAGTTTTCCATGAAACCTTGATATATTTTTCCCCCGTGTCTGAAATTCAGGGGGAGAATTATGATGAAGTTCAGACTTTTGTTCCTCAAGAAATTGATATTGAGATCAGATTGGAGAAAGAAAGTTACAAAGTTGTATTAGGAGATGATGAAAGTATGCAACAATATTATAATCAATAACCACGTAATGAGGAAGATTTTGAGCATGTCGAGATCGAAAATTTTATGTTGATGCTGATGATATACCACACTAATCGTCCCTTCAAAAACCTAATACAGAAAAAAGAATTCTGCCAAATCGTGTCACTAGAGGTATTCCTAAGCCTACTTATGATCCTGACCTCACCAGTAAGACAAGATACCCTATGAGTAATTATATTTGTAACCAGAATTTGTTTAACTCAAATATCGCATTTATAAGTCAATTATCTACTATATCTATTCCTAACAAGTATGCGTGAAGCTTTAGCCGACTCTAGGTGGAAGGATGTTATTCATTTAATTTAGCTAATCAAATTTTCTTTTTTTATTTTAACTGACTCCACGTGAATTCACTTATTAATATTTTTCATGAATTTGTATTTAAAATAAATTAAATTATCAGAAATTTAAATTTGAAAAAAATAATAATTAATGTTTTTATTTATAATATTATATATTGTAAATGATAAGTGATTATAAAATATTAACTTTCGAATATATTTTTTTTGTTATATTTTGTACATCATCTTATCAATCTACTGCCAAACATGAAGTTTGATTTAGTTCATAGTGAACAAAAATGAATTTGTTTTAATTTAGTTTATGAACTAGGGTGAATCAAAACAACTGCCATCCTTCAAAGTCATGTTAACACACCTAACATAACTAAAAGTTACGAATTTCAAATTTGTTTAACGAATTCAAAGTTGCTCAATTAGTTTCTAGAAAGATTGCGTGACAGAAGGGAAAAAATGATGTTAAAATATACTTTCTAATAAACATATTACTTTTTAATGATTTAAATTTATTAAAAATTATAAAATTATCAAAGAAGTAGTGGATGTTTAAAACGCTAATAAAAAATAAAAGAAATATATATATATATATATATATATATATATATATATATATATATATATATATATATATATATAAATATCAGTGAAAAAATATTAAGAATAATCTGACTTAAAGACACAAAGAGTGTTATTCTTAAAGGAAAAACATCGCACTGCACAGATAAAGCAAAATAATGTTTTCTTTGTTACTGGTAGAGACCGCAGTTGCTGCGGATAGGAATGGGTCATATCAAACACAATATTTTAATTTATTTATTTTAAATTATAAAAATATATTTAAAATAAAATAAAAATTTTCGTAGAATATAATTTATAAAAGAAAAAAAATATTATATTTTAATATAAGGAATCTTCTATTATATAAAATTTCTATTAAAAAAATTAGATTTAATAATCTTGAATTATATTTTCTTGATAGGATTTTATTTCATAACACATGCAATATAAGTGTTATATATTAGCATCATGCACATGTATCTTGTTTCATGAGTTTCAATTAGAGATTTATTCAAATATTATAATGGGACCCCACCATTATACTAGTTAGGTAAATTCTTAAAGTGGTTCGTCACTTACACCAGGGTAATAATTATCATTTGATTCTTAAAGAAATATTTTAAATATAATGATACATATACTTTAATCTTATAATTTTTCACAATATAGAACACATCTCATAATAGGAATGAAATCCAAAATTTATTCATAAAATTGTATATTTTAATTAACAATAATCTCGTTATTACCAAGTGGTCATTCAACAGGAATTACGTTTCTATTATTATAATTTAGTTTATTAGCTTTAATCACATTTTTCTTAACCATTCAAGTATACGTTAACGAGTCAATCCTGTTATAATAGTACTATAAGAAATCAAATTTTTAATAGATTTATATTTCTTTATCAAGTGCCTTTTTTTCATTAAAATTTTTTACTAGAAACTTTGATATAGCAACTTGACTATTAGATTGTATTGAAATTGGAGATGAAGATTTATTTAACAATGAAAAAATATATATAAAAAAAATTAGAAACTCAATCACAACAGTTCTATAAATAATTTGCACTTCTATGGGAGATGTAAAATGATAGTTTATTTAGAATGTTTCCAATATATTACACCTTCAACTAAAGTAAAAACATAAGCAATAGTTAGTTTTGTTTTATCAAAATAAAAAATATAATTTGTATCATTAAACCCCTCAATAACAATAAAAACTTGTGTATGATGATCATACGTATTTAAATAATTTTATAATACATTCTAATGAAAATAACGAGAATTATGAGTATATTTTCTAATCTAAATAGAAAAATTTGTTAAATGTAATAAAAAAACTAATTATTTGAGGATATTTATGACAAGACACACCTCACTTAAATTTTTCTTTAATTTAACATATAAGTCATATGACATTAAAATTGGTTAATATCTAAATAATTTAATTTCTTTAAAAAAATTTCTAAGTAATGTGATTAAGATAAGATGATGTCATCATCTTTCTTTATAATATCTTAGTATCCAAAATTATATTTAGAGAATTAAGATCCTTCGTGTCAAAATTACTTGACAAAAATGTTTTAACATTTTTTATAACATTCAATAATAACAAGCCTATCATCAAATTTATTAACCGATCCATTTATTCTTAGTTACTTTCTAAAAATCCATTTACAAGCAATACTTTTATAAAAAAATCACTTAAAAATCCTTATTTTCTTTAAGAGAATTCATTTCATTATTAATAAATTATTTTCAAAAAGGTGCATCAATAGATCCCATAGCTTCACCATAAGATTTAGGATAATCTTTAAGCAAAAACAACAAATTATAAGACCAAATTATTTAGCTTTATTTTGTCTTTTAGTTTTAAATTCAACATTTTTATTAACATTACTACTAGAAGGCAAAAAAATAGAATTAAAATCACTTTAGTCAATTTATTCTTTAAAAAAAAATATTCAAAGAAAATAACATCTCTAGATTCCATAATGGTATTGTTAGAAATTTTAACCGCATCAAAATTTATAACAAAGAATCTATAAGTAATGTAAAGAATAATCCATAAAACACAATCAATTAGTTTTGATCTTATTTTTCTTTTCTTATGAAGAGAATATAACTTTTGCAAAATACCCCACACTTTAAGATGTTTTTAATATGATTCTTTTTTCTTCCATAATCCATAAGGAGTTTCATAGCAAACTTTATGAGAATTCTTACTAGGAATATGACAATTAAAATATAAAGTTTCACCCTGTATTTGTAAACAAATCAAAACTTATAAACATGACATTTACCATATCAAGCCTAATTTTATTTTATTTTCTTTCGGTTATACCATTAGATTGAGGAATATATGAAGATGTTACTTCATGAATCTTGCATTCACAAAAATCACTCATTTCTAAAAACATATATTTCCCACCTTTATGTGAACAAAAGTCTTGATTTTCCTATCTAATTGATTTGTATATTTAAATTTATCAAATAATTCATTTTTGTATTAATTGAATACACCTAACAATATTTACAAAAATCACCAATAAACATAATAAAGTATCATTTATCACTATGTGTTAACACATGTCACTACAAGTTAATTCAAGCAAATTAGTTTTTTTTTTCATACATCTATAAAAAAGCTTTGTAGGTTGTTTTGCTTGAACACATATTTCACATATTTATTTTAAATTAGTGGAAGATTTATGAATAAAATTAAAAGTCATCATTCTCTTAATAGAATTACAAGTTTAGTAATCATATAAGGTGGACATATTAAATAATAATATTATTATTTTTTACTTTCCAATAAAAACAATTAATTTTTTTATAAAATATAAAAAAAGTTTTTAACTCAAATTATTTAAAAATAAAATTAAATATTTTATTATATTATATTTTAAACTAAAATTGTTTTAAAATAAAATTAAATATTTTATTATATATTTTAGATGATTAGTTTAAAATTTGGTTTGAGAGTTATTTATATAAGTAAATTGTTTTTAAATTTTAAACAATTTTCTTCATTTTTAAACAAGTGAAACATGAATCCATAATAAAATGTTTATTTTTATTTTTAAATAATTTTTATTAGTAATTTTTTTTAAAATATTTTAAAAATGTTAAAACTCTAATAAAAAAAATTAAAATAATAGAAAAAGCCAAAATAATATATAGTAATTAACACAATATTTATAACAACAATTATCAAAATAAATAAAATATCACATTAATTTTAACTGATGGAATATTTTTTCGTCGCAAAATTGAATCCGAATTTTAGTTTGAAAGACGGAAAAATTAAAGTATAATCACAACTAAACATAAGATCGAATAAAGTTAAACATATTTTAGTTTTCCACCACTAGCTTTAAAGAATTTCCAATAAGACTACTTTTTGCTACTTGATATCTGATTAAACTCAATAAAAACAAAAGGAATCTATTCTTTGAAATATAACTTAAACATGCCACGTTCAAATAAATTGAAATATAACTTAAACAATCGAACAATCGAACCAACAAACGTAGTTAGCAAACACAATAATAGAGGACAACCAAATTATTTGACTAAACGCAGAGTGAGCACACGACAATCAACAAAGTTGATAAGATCAGAACTTCTTGATGAAATCATAAATGTGATTGCTGACATCCTCTGCAGCTTCTTGGTTGTTGAAGTGAGCCACTCCTTCCTGCACAACCACTTCTTCCAAATTTGGCACATCTTTCTTGAATGCTCCACTCTCTATGTAATTCTTCGTCCCTAGTGAGGTGTATACTGAATCCAAATCACCTGTAATGAACTTCACCGGTACTTTCACTTGTGATCCAGTCCAAGGTGCTGTTAACTCCCAATTTCTATAAAATTCACACCATTCAACAGTAAAATCATTTAGCACGTGGATGGCTGCATGTTACATGACATTTAACACATGTATGTGTCTATATATGAACTTACAAGTTGATATTTCTATAGTAGTTGAGGCCTCCAGTGAAGCCTGTCTTTTCAAATTTGGAAGCATAGTACTTCAGGTCTTCTTGTGAAAGCCAAGAAGGAAGAGGCATTGAAGTGTTAAGATTTGAACCCATTCCATCTTTTGGCAAGATTGGTGGCCCGGGTGTGCGATTTATCAGCACGTTTTTCAAGCTCTCTTCAGTGCTACTTTTGGCTAACTCACTTTCTGCCTTTCCTGGCTCCTGTTGTATTAATTAACCACATAATATCAGATCTGGGATTATCAACTTTTCAAAATCATCTTTTTGTTATATTATCACTTTTTTTTCAGTCCTTGTTTGTAAGTTTTTGTTAAATAGTACTTGGAAAACTTATTTTAATATTTTTAGTGCTTATTTAATTATTGTTATTTTATCTTTGTAATATTTTGTTCGTTTTAAAGTAAGGTGATTGAAAAAAAAGTCAAGTGGAAGAGGGCATGCATGCAGTAAAAAAACTGTTGTGTTGGATGAATGAGTGAAGGTTGTAAACGCAGAGCCTAATATTAGTTCCTGCAACTTATGGCGGCTGGCATTGGCAAAGCAACAACCACAACCATAATCCGACAACACGACTGGACTTCAATTGCAATCGAAACCATGGATTTGTTTTGGTTGCCCAAATTAACACCTTTATATTATAACATAAAAACAAGCATTAAATATAATTAACTTAATTTGGTGTTGCTGTTGAGAGAAGAAAAGGTGAAGAAGAACCTGGAATCTGCAGATATAGTAGTCATCTCCGTATAAGGCCCGCATGGCATCAACGGGCTTCACTTTTGGGTTTCTGGGCCAGAAAGGGACGCTGAGGCAGACGTAGGCCTTCACTCTGTCAGGGCGAAACATGCAGAGGTACCAACCTATGATGGCACCCCAGTCATGAGCCACAAGGAAGACTTGTTGGACACCCAGAGAGTCGATAAGGGCAACGAGATCACCCACTATGTGCAAGCAGTTGTAGCTGCTGATTGAAGGTGGTGCCTCCGTGTCACCGAAGCCACGTAGATCCGGAGCAACAGCGTGGTATCCTCGGGAAGCAAGAGCCCGAATCTGGTGGCGCCAGGAGTACCAGAGTTCAGGGAAGCCATGGAGGAACAACACCACAGGACCTTCCCCTTTTTCTGCTACATGCATTTTTATGCCGTTCACTTCTACTGTTCTGTGTACCACGCCTTCCATCTCCTCTCTTCTCTTCTTGCTGTGAGAGTGTAAGTTTGAGTTTGATATCTTACTCTGTGATATGAATTTATGAAGAGAAAGAGGTATTTGACTCAGAATGGCTCACTTCATTTCACTGCTATGGGAAATCCAGAAACAGTTAGACAAGTAAATGCACAATAAAAGTAGGGAGGTCTACTAATAAATTGCTTCGTAATTGCAAACAAGTTATTAAATTGGGTTATTTAAAAAAAAATAAAAATAAAAGCTTGGTCCTGCAATATTATAGCTTCTTTTATATATGGTTTTCTTTTCACTGATTTTCTTCAAACTTTAAAAGAAATTGATTTATTTTAAACTTGTAAATATGAAAACGCCACGTAGATTTGACTATGCGGGGTGAATTAATAAAAATGGTCATCACCATTTCCACGTAGCATGCAACTACTCGAGGTCAGAATTAATTATGTAAAAGGAAAGGAAATTGCATGCAAGCCACGTGCTGTGACAATTTTTATTTTAAGAAAAATATATATAACAGAAAAAAAAATCACTGATAATGTTATCACACTGATTTAAAAATAGACATCCACTATTCAATTTTTAATAAAATGACAAATATTTCTTCTTCATTTCTTTTAAATTATATTTTTAATAAATGATATTTATTTGTCTATATTTTATATAAAGCATTACTTTTCTTATTTTATTTAAAATAATATTGTTTAAAATTTAATTAAAAATCATAAAGAAATTATTAATACTAAAAAATTACATTCATCCCTTAAAAAAATAACATTCATATTTTGTCTAATATTAACTCGATATATTTATTTATGTTTAGTATTTGTATTTTTTTATTATATATATATATATATATATATATATATGCTATTTTTCACTGTAAAAAAATATATTAATTTATATTATTTTTGGTTTTACCTCTTCTTTTTAACTATAACTTTATTAATAATTCACTAAATTATAGGACCCTCATTCCTTCCTAATATATCTTTAATCAGAACAATTCTATGAATTATGATACATCAATTTTAAATTGTACAAAATTGATTTTACCTTATTAAAATTTTTTTGTACTATAATTTTTATTAATTTTTGTGCTTTTTTTTTTTACCTAGGCTTTGATACTGTGTTAAGGTTCCAATATAAAACCAATTAGCAATATGTAAATTAGTCTAACATGTATTTAAACCATATCAAATGACATGGGTTAGACGATGTGGGACTTTCAACTGTGGTGAAAGTAAAATATTTTAAAAATAAAATAAAATGTAATTATTATTTTATTAAAAATGTAAGGAAATTTTATATTTCAAAATTAAAAATTTAAGATATTATTAACTAAGTTATGTTAATTAAATATATCTTAATCTACGTGTTTAGGGTTTAGAAATTGATACTGGAGTTGGAATTCATGTCTTTCACTTACCATGGTTAGGGTAAACATTATATCTAATTGAACAACTTGTTAAAGTAGCTCACAGAACAGAAGAATTCACCATCCTGATCACTATAAATTGAGAATAGAACCAATATGCAGTGCGTGACAATTTAGAATCCATTGCTATATACATTTGCTCTTCCTTTTGCTATTATTTTTCCCAATTTAAAGCAAAGAAACATTTAAGTTCAATCAGCGATACATTCCCCTTCTAAATCCTGTGCAGTAGTCATGACAACGGGATGAGTACGGTTTTTTTGTCTTTCCGATTTTTTTTTTCTGATGTTTTTAAAACTGTTTCTGTCCTTGATTCATTTATTTTCGTTGGAATTCAGGTTTTTTATCCTCTTTTCATCTCTAATCTATATTATTTAAAAAATAATTATATTTATAAAAAATTAATTTTACTATTTTTTATAAATTGTAATTATTATTAATTAAATATATATTTTAATTTATTATATATATATATATATATATATATATAAAAAAATATATATATATATATATATATATAATTAATTACTTTTTATTTATATGTATATAAAATATTTATATTATTATTATTATAAATAATAATAATATAATCAAATATTTGAATATTTATAATAATATTATTATTATTATATTATATTCAAACATTTAATAATTTATTTTTAAATTATCATTTAAAAATATAAAATATATAATTTGTAAGAAAATATTTAATAAATTAATTTTTATTTAATTAATTTGAAGTAAAAATAAATAAATTGTTAATTCTTTAAAATACAATTATTTTATTATGATAAAATTTGATATATAACAAATAAAAGTAATAAAATCTAAAAATTATAATATAATAAAAATAAATTATAGATAAAATAATATTAATTACTAATAATATTTATGTAAAATATTTAAAAAAAAGTTTTGTATTTATTAAATTGATTGAAAAAATTAAAAAATTAAAAAATAAATTAATTGGAAAGATTAAAAAAATGTAAAAAACTGAAAAATAAAAAAAAGAATAATATAAAAAATTAATTGATATAAAAAAAATAAGTAAAAAGACATACAAATAATAAAATATAAAAACTAATTTTATATATAATATTAAAAAAATATTTTTATAATATTAATATTTTAAAATTTAAATTTAAATTTAAATATAAAAATAGAGACAAACCAGACCATGATAGAAATTGTATTATCTATCAACATTCCCACTCCTGATTTTTTTTATAGCGAAAAAATCTAAACAATGTCTGGGTACTTTATTTGGTTCAATTAAGTCAACCATAAATAATTTAGAGATTTCTCTAAAAATGAAAAAATCTATAGAATTTTACTTCATTACACTCCACGCTCTTTAGGGGATGAAAGAGGGAATATCTCCATCTGGGAAGAAAACGGGTAAATCCTATATAAACTACTATATCTGACATCCTATCAAATATCAAATTCGGGACAAAGATGAATCAATACCTATCAATTCTCCCATAAATACAAATTTAATTATCATCCCTAATATAATATAATATTACGTGACATAAGTGAGCTATCTTGATAAGTAGATGAAAATCTTCTAACATTTATTAAGCTCTAAAGAAACTTTCAATTAATACTATCTAATTTCACAATTTTTTAAAATAAAGAAATAAAACATCACATTTTATGATAAAAATAAAAATATACATAGCAATATACAGCAAACACGTATTATTTATATGTAAATTAGTTTCGGCCATAGATCTCTGGACAAGTCCATCCTGAAAAAGGAACCTTCAGAGAAAAATTTTCTAATTATTATTCACTGCTATCTTTTATAAAATTTTCCGACTCCTCAAAAGAAATACTCCAATACCCTCCCCTTAAAAACAAACTATTATTTATAGCTACCTTTCTGAAGATAATTTATCAGTTGGAGAAGAAGCCATAGTATAGAAAGAATAGGTTGCAGAGATATAATTAAAAAAAGAAAAGAGTGGTAGATCCATACATAGATCACAAGGGATGCCAAACCGAATCAAAATGCTACTTATAAAATGTATATAAAAAATAATTGAACCTAAGATCTTTAGGTTGATTCAATTCGATCCAAGCCTATTTTAAGAACACCCATTGGGGAAAAACCAAGAAGGGGAAAATTTTAATAACTCAGTCACATGTGCCCAAAACAAATAAACAACAAAAGAGAAAAAAAAAATGTTGGCGCATAGCACAATGATTGTCCAATCTCAAAATACCACGTATGTAATCTGCTGGGTCAGAAATTCTTTATCCTTAAAAAGCTCGTTGAAAAATCAACGACTGAGAAATCCACCGAGCGTGAGCCATACATGTCTCAATGGTAAGCACAATATATACCCCCTCCCCTTCCCCAAGGGAATGAAAGGCTGCCTTGTTCTTATAGTGTAAAAACAATTTATGCAGCACCCATGTAAGTAAATTTGGTTCTTTGCAGATTTTGTAGTACCCCAGTCAAATCCAAACCTTCTCAATGCTAATCAAAACTAGCATTTAAAAAATTCAGCAGTTCATTTCTCTTGCTTTCAGCCACTTTATCTTCCTTTGTTTTTTCAAGTTTCAGAAGAATCTAAGAAAAAGAAGCATAGAAAAAAAAAAATCAAGATTGCTTACTACCAATTACAGGACCAAAACAAAGGTACAATCAAATAACACATCCCTACCTTCTTGCCAGAAACCGCACTCCGACGGACACCATCATCTTTGGCACGCCCTAAAAACTGATCCAGTACAAAAAAAAAAGGAAATTATAAAACCATGCAAGAAAGCAAATGGATTGAACTTCTGAGATAGATTACAATAAAACCTTAGAAAGCTGCACAGGGCTACTGTTCCTCTCATCATGCTGCTTCTATATAAAGCTCCCATTGCCAGGACAAACCCCACCAAGAAACAACATTCAAGCAAGTCGATCAAGCACCCAAACATGCCACAGATCCCAGCTCCAATTTCAAAGAGCCAATACATAAAATAGGAAGAAAGTATCATAAGCATCTCAAACTGGAATATACAAAACTTTATGCATATGGAAATAAGTATGGAACTTTAAGAAAATTTCATAATTTGTTGTTTTAAGTTATACATTATTAGTTCAGAATTAATGATGTCAAGCCGGTATTAAGCTACAAAAGTTGATAGGAACAGAGAAAATTATAAGTATGTGTCTTCAGTAGATAAATTTTAGTTTTAGATAAGAATCCTTGTATCCAATAATGAATATTACGCATGAAGATTCAAGTTTATGAAAATAGTCAACATTTCGGGGTCACTTGCTTATGTTAGAAACTTTAAACATGAAGAACATCAAACATACGGAAAAAATAAACAAGATATGAAAAAGTGACCTACCTCTTTTACTTTATGCTTCTGCCGCTTATGACGGTGGCTTTTAGTTCGATCCTTTTCCTTACTCTGAATGATGAAGGGGAGACGTGAGGTAACGGTCAAGATTTAAATCTAATAAAAACTGTATAACCAACAATTCACCTTCTTTGGCCTGTCACTCTTTTTGTGCCTCTTTGAACGGTGAGATGTTTCATGCTCACTATCAGAAGAACTTTCGCTTCTGAAGTAATATGGAGAACAAAAAGAGTTATGATATAGCCAGATTAATCCGTTTGTTAATCATAACATATATAATACAGGCAGCCACACTGAAGTAACTTCTTATGCAATATGCAATATGATTGGGATCTTGTATAAGTCACCCAATTTATCAACATCAAACAGTTTGCAGAAATCATGTTTCCAAAGCAGTAGTATAGGTGTGGCAAAATGAAAGAGGGAATAATATGACAATCGGCTGTGTGAAGAATATGCGACGTTGTAAAGGGGAAAGGATGCACGGCAAAGGAGACTGTGCATGGTTCAGTCAACTGCCAGTGTTATCAAAATCTGTTTCTAATAGTCATAGTTATGATCCCATTATACATCACTTTCATCTTCCACCCCAAAAATTAATAACATAATATAATGGAACAGAACTGATTCCATTAGAGAGAAATCTTGTTGTTGGAACAGTAACATTCATCTCATTCCATAATTCGATAAATATCAACTATGCGTAATAAACATCCTCAGGCCCTATGACGGAAAGAAAGATTGAATAAACTACTTCTATTACAACTGTGTGCCTCCCTTGCAATGGTTGAAACTAGTTTATTACGTTTTCTCCTGATTATACAAGAATTAGTATTTTTGAGCTTGGTTACTTTAGCGAACATTTAAGATCCATCTATCGTAAAGAACATCAGAACTCAAAATCATCAAAACCGCAAGGATCGTAATTGTATTGAATCAGCCATTAAAACAATTAAAAAAATAATAGGGATAAAAGAATCAAAAGAAATGCGTCCAGTATTTATGCGGGGGTTACATATGAAACCTGGAGTAGTCGGAGACAGATGATGAGGAATAGAAATCGGAATCGGAATCAGAATCTGAATTGGAAGAGTGGTGGTGATGCCTACGACGTCGTTTCCCACGGGACTGAGACTTGGTCTTCTTTCGGATCTTGAGGGAGTCCTTGTCGCGGTCTCGGCGATGGCGGTGGTGTCGCCGGCTACGGTGAGGGGAAGAGTTGTCGGAGGAAGAGAGAGAAGAAGAAGTGGCCGCCATCACAGACTTGCGCGAGGGTTTTCTTTGGATTTGGCCGGTCTCAATCTTCTTATTATGATGATGGTTGATGTGAATTATATTTTCTGTTAGTTTTTTTAGTTAAAATTTGGTTTACAATTGCATAAAAAATCATTTTAAATCAATTTTCTAAATTACTTGCCCAAAGAGAGACTAAGTTTTATTAAAAATTGATTTGAAAATAATTAAATCAATTTTTTGTGAGTAATATTTATATTAGTTATTTTACAATTAATGTACCATGTTCATAAACAACTATAAAAATGTTATTGTGTTTTTTGAATCTATTTTATATAGAGCGTTGTAAAAAATTTACTGTACAATAATTTACAATAAATAATTTTATATTAAAAACTAATAAAAATGAAAGAAAAGCGAAGTTGTAAAAAAATATATTGTCATAAATATGACAAATGTACTTTCCCTTTATCAATATAAATAATTAAGTAATTTTTAAGATAAAAAATATTTGTATAAAATATATTTATAATAATATTTTCATAATTTTATGATAAAATATACATACTTTATTTGGTTATTGTCTTTAAAAATATTATTTATTTATTTTGTTTTTAAAATTTTAAAAAATAATTTATTTTTTACTTTTTAAAACTTAAAAATTCAGATAAATTATATATTTTTTTTATTTTCATTAATATGTTATAAAGATTTATTAATAATCATATTAAATCACTTATTTTTCATTACATTAAAATTACCAAAAATATTTTTAAATTTTGTAACAACTTTACACTATTTTCTTTTTGTCTAAAATAGGTTTTAATATATAGTATAATTATTTAACAATTTGTTTCATCTTATTTTTAAAAAATATTTTTTTAAATTAATATCTAAAATTGTTTTGAAAAACAAAAAAATAAATTAAATAAACTTTTATACAAAGGAGTAGAAACAAAGGTATTTTTTATAAATATTAGGACATAAAAATTATATTATTTTATTTTGAAATATTATTAAATAATGATTTATCTTATTTTCTCCGAAATCTCACTCTCACTCTTATATATGTCCAACACAACAATTTTCCTAAATAATTCCACAATTCAGACATAGATTTCTTTGTAATAATCTACCAGTTACACTAGAATGAAAAAAGGTTTAAAAAAAATAAAAAATGAGAAACATATTCCATGGAAAAACCTTCTTAATGGATGTATAGTGTAAAACACAACTTTTTATAAGATTTTATAGATTAGATGTAAAATCAATTTATCCAATATATTTTAGATTTGTTCTTTATACAACTAACTATTATGTAGATTATCAATTAAAAATTCACAACATGTGTTAAGAATCGATATTTAGTAGAATCCACGTCTAGAAATTCCATTAACTTTATTGTTTTTAGTGTAATTATATTTTGGTTGTTGTTCCAATTTTTATACTGTGATCCTCTAATTTCAACAGGTTTGAAGAAAAGAATAATAAAAAGAGATTTTTGTAGGAGATTTGAGTTATTAAATCGAGTTGGGTTTCATTGAAGTTAAAGTTTGTTTGAAAACATAGAAATGTATATGAGATGGATTGATACAGGATTAAACAATAGAGAAGTGAAGATTGGAAGAGGGATATGAGTGTGGTAATTGGGAATCTAATTGATTAAGATCCTACAAGCATAGAGAACTGTAGGAAAACGCCAGTTCATACACACTTGCATTTCAGACCAATGAATGAATATTGGAAGAAAAAAAGACGAAGGTGGAACAAGACAATCATAATTAATTAATTATTAAAGTAAGCAACTCGCAGTCTCGCTCTCTTCTCTGCGGAAAATGAAGCAGCCTCTGGTCAGTGAGCGACGGGGATCATACCAGAGTCGTAAGGAACCCTAGTCACCCTAATCCAGTCATCTCCATGGAAGAACAGAGTTGGCAGGAATGTAGATGCTTCGTTTTCTGGGAGGGTCTTGATTCCCTGCCATTTCACGCGCTTCGTTTTGTCTGCACCAGGGCCGCGGTTGTCGATCTCAGCGTAAAAGCAAGTGTCCATTCCGGAAAAGCCCTCCAATGTTTGCCATGGCATGTAGCCATCGGGTGTGATCAAGTCACCAATGTAAGAGTCCATGAAGATGGTCCTTGAGAAATTCTTCCATGGACGAGCCAAGTAGGCCTTGTTGTCGAACCTATATGGGTAGTACTTGACGTCTGACACAATGGACCCTCCATGGATGACTAGACCGGATGGCTGGTTAACCTCCTTTCTGCCTTGTGCGGTCACAATGCATTGCTGGTTTGACAAGGGTTTTCGGACCACGAATGTGCAGTTCTGGAGAACAGCCACTGCGTCACCGAAGACAAAGTCGATGGTGCCAGAAATGACACAGTCGCGGTAGAATTGGCGCATGGTGTGGGCGTAGAGAGTGTCTTGATACCCATCCATTCGGCACTTGTAGAAGATGGACCTGTCGGATTGAACCCTCAATGCAACTGCCTGATGTTTTTCAGGGCCGGCAGTGTTCTCAAATCCGATACCTATGCCAACGAAGAAATCTCCAAGAATAGCTGCAGCATTTATAATATTTATATTTATTTAGTTCATCGTCCAATCAGCAAGTATAAGAAATTGTTTCTTCTAGTTTTCTGTGTCTAAATGGAAGGAAACTTACCAGCGCTGGCGGTTCTGAAGGTACCAACTCCGTCGACGAAGTTTTTGCTGCCTGTGATTCTTGTCTTTTTACCACCATCGCCTATCATGACGACATGGGTCATATTTCTGGCAACTTCGACGTACTCGTTGTAAAGACCCTCCTTGACGTAGATAATATAGGGCCTTAGATTTTTCTTGGGCACGGACTTCAAAGCATCGTTGATGGTGGTGAAATTGCCGCTGCCATCCTGGGCAACAACAACATGTGCCATGCTTTTGCGACCAGTCATTTTCATGAGTCTGCGAACGCCAACGCGGTTCTCAACCCAATCGGGAACGTCAAAGTCACCGGCTTCCTGGCCAAAAAGGGGCAAGCCATCGGCAGAGTTCAGGAGGCGGCGCCCAGGCTTGTTGCCGCGTATCTCGTAGAGAGTTTTTGCCAGCTCGTTGATGATAGAGAGGCCGTTGCTGGTCATGTGCATGGAGGTTTGCAAGAGCCCCTGCATCTTCTTGCTAGCGTCGGTTGTGGTGTTCTCGAACGCATCAAGGCACGTTTCCTGGTACGTGACGGCGCCACTGAGCCACACCCTGAGACTGGTGAGGATGCGGTCAAGGCTGTTGAGGTCGAACTTGTTGAACCTGTCGATGGAGCGCCTGAACTCCTCGATGGAGAGGTTCATGAGTTGTTTACATGTGTCGAGGGCCTCTTTGGTTCTGGGGTCGCTCTCGACTTCCTGCATGAGCTGCGTTTTTCCAAGTCCGTCGCTGATTCTACTAATGGTGACGTTAAAGGCGATTTTTATTAGTTCCCTGGGGTCCGTGACGTTGCCGGCGTTGGCATTCAGACTGTCTTCGCATTCTTTCTGGTATTCGGTGGGTGCGCAAAGGGTCTTCACCGCTTTCATCGAGGAAGCTACGTGAGATTTTGATGCTTCCTTTTCATCCTCGATTTCTCCCTTGTTGCTGAAGTTCACGCTAACCGTCACGGCTACCACCATAGCCACCAGCAAGAAGGTAGACACGCCAATGATGGCAATTCTCTTCTGTCCATCACTCCCCATTTTATTTTTATTTATTCAAGCAGCTCCTAATCCACACCAACCTGCTAATGCAATGCAACAACGCATACATTTTCATTCAAATTTATTAAATTGCTGAATTGAATAATAATAATAATAATAAAGTAAAGAGTAATACCTACAAAGCAGGAAAGGAGCCGCCCTTAGGTGAAACGGAGAAGGGATCACTCAATATATGAAGGAGAGTGCGTTGGTGTGTTTGGGGTTTCGCTCTAGGTCGCTTTTTATACATGCTTTCATCCAACTACGGTTTCCGAGTCTGTTCTGTCCGTTGCAAAAACCTGAGGCTTCCAGTAAAAATCTCTCCTTTTTTTCTCCTCTCCACAAAAACCACCAAATATCTCCCAACCATTTTCCGCTAATTTGCTAAAAATTCTCCCTTCCTTCGTTTCACTTGCCTTTCAATCGCAACTTCTTTTTATTAATATTATTAATAATTATAAAATTTTATTTTTTTAATGTTTGTTTGTACTTATCATTGTTATATTAATTACAGAGTTATAAGATAGATGTGCAAAAAGAATGAGCTCTATTTATATCATTCTCCAATCCATCAACGTTCAATATTTCAACATTCAAGGAGAACAATAAAAGAGAAAAATGGAAACTCAACAGAACCAATTTAACATAATTGTTTTATTTGATAGGGTGTAAATCACAGTAATCCAGAAGAGTAAGGTATTCCTGTTGCAGGAAGCCAGAGACCACCTAGTATAAAATTAGCAACAGTGAAATTAACAGCATCAGTTGCATTGATCACATGGTACCCAGGCCAAGTAACCCTATTACTGGTGTCAGATCCAGGTCCATAATTATCAAATTCCGCATAATAAAGGGTGTCCAAAGCAAAGTCCCCGGACCAAGCTACCCAACCCTCTGCATCCACCAAACTGTCCATGAAAGACTGCATATAAACTGTTTGTGAATATAGCCTCCAGGGTCTTCCTAAATAAGTTTTTGTGGTGGTACTACTATTGGCCAAGTCACTTGCCGCGGTTATTTTACATTTGTGTATAGAGATGCCAGTGTTTTGGTTACTGTCAGCCCTACCTTGTGCAGTTATGGCATTGAATTGGTTTCGCATTGGTAGTCTTAGGTAGATGTTACAGTTTTGCAAGACAACTGCTGCATTACCAAATATGAAGTCCACCGTACCATAAATATCACAGTTTCTGTAAAATTGCCTAAGAGACTGGGTGTATAAGGTGTCTTGGTACCCTTCAAAGCTACATTTGTAAAATGCAGAACTGTCTGCCCCGCTCCTGAGGGCTACTGCTTGGTATTTGATTGCTCCAGCTGTGTTGCGAAAAGTTATGTTCATTGCCACAAAACCTTGCCCAAATACGGCTACAGTAGGAAACCTATGATTACTATAATGACTCATTCTGTTCATCCAATCAATTGAGACAAATAAAACGTAGTTTTAAAACAATAAAATTCTCCTAGTGTCAAACGGACATGAAGTATGAAATATGAACAAGCATGCACAATTTGAAATCCATAAATGCATCTTCATGCTTGCATATCAATCATCTGTATGTATAGTATTGGTTGCGTGTGATCAATATGCAATTACTCATCTTTTTTTGAATTCAAATCATGTCGTATTAAATTAACTTTCCTTTTAAAAAGAAAGTACTAGCAGTGAAAGGAAACAAGGGAAATATAATTTATTATCTACTGTATTATCAAAGAAATACACAGAAGATATATAATGTATCCCAAAACCAGATTCCACGAGGTTTTGTATTAACAAAAAAAAAATCAGATTCCACGTGGTTTTGTTTAGTATTACAAGGGAATGTATCCCATCTGAAATATGTAGAAAATATATATAGAGTGCAGTAGTGGTAATATTCGATAACTATGACATTGGTTTGTAGTATTTCTTTCTACCATTTTACAACATCTGGTAATTTTTCACATTGGAAGTTCCTTACAACAAATGGAAACACCCTCCTACTTAATCAGGATGCATATGGATGAAAAAATTCCAAGTTCAATATTTAATTAACCCAAGCTAAGAAGATAGGTAGTTACCGAATGTAGCAGAACTGAACGTACTCCAACCATCAGCCACGCTGCGATTGCCCGTGATTATGGTCTGGTTAATTCCATCTCCTATCATCATCAGGTACTGCTTGTATTGGGGAATAGAAACATACTCTTCATACACTCCACCCACCACATGAATCACGAAAAACCCGTTACTAAGGTCGGTGTTATTTGGAGCTGCAGCCACTGCATCATTGATTTTCGTGTAGTCTCCAGATCCGTCTGGGTTCACCACCACGCTTTGACTCACTAAGACGTTTTCTGCACCCAACTGAAGCAGTTTTCTTCCTCTTATTCTAGTAAGCTCGTGCAACTTCTGTTCCCACACAATATGATAATTTGTTTCAAGCTCTCTCTCTGTCTTTTTATTGGCTCTCCATCCCCTCTTAAAGATCGCAAGAGATATGCTATAAAGCTTGGTTCCGTAGGAAAGATGTGTTAGTAGGTCATGATCGGGTTTTGAGGTGGTTTCGTGAAGGCTGTTTAAGCACGTGTCGTGGTTGGTCAGTGTAGCACTAAGCAAAGTGTGTAATTTTTCAGCTTCAGAGGTACCGAGGGTGTAAGCGGAATTGATGCTTTTTAGAGTCTTGGACAAAAAACTCTGGCTCAGGTCAGCCAGAAGGTAACAATCTTGAAGGGCAAGGATAGTGGAGTTTGAGTTAAGGTATTTAGAGATGAATGTGAAAAAGCTTTGTGAGAAAGACACGGATTTTCCTACGAAAAAACGGCCATATTCGTGTATGTCGCCTTGGCCCTTAGGAGAGATGGATTTGCAAAATGATGGATAAGGTGTGAGGTTGCAAATGGTATCGGTGGAGAATGAGGAGGATGCAAGAGACGCATATTTGCAGAAAATGCTTAGAAAATAGACCATGAATAAGCTCAAGGACAGCTTGGAAATAGCCATGGAAATTTTATGAAGATGGTTGAAAACAGAACGCATAGGAAAAATATGTATATACGATAAACTACACTGCTATGTAACGCACAACGTGTAAAGAAAAACACTTAAAAAACTATAAACGAAACTGTTAACAAAACTTTAACGGTAAATAATAAATCCTTTTTATTAATTATTAATTATTATTATTATTATTATTATTATTATTTTAATCAAATTATCATCCTTAAAATAAGTAAATTTTTTAATTTTAATTTCTAAAATTTAAAATTGTTATTTTAAGAACGTTGTTTAAAGAATTCATATTTTAGTATATTTTGAAAATAAATATTAATATGTATAAACAAGGTATTAAATAATTTTAGAATAATATATATATATATATATATATATATATATATATATATATATGATTTATGGGAATAAAGTTTCAATATAATGTTCAGTTAGAAAAAAAGAGAGTCTAATATTAATAACATCAAACGAGTAATTTTTTTTAATATCATTATTTAAATAATTATTTTGATTGGTAAATATTTTAAATTTATCACTCGTATATCATTAAATGTACTTTTATGGTTATTTTTATATTAGTTTTTAAATTTTAAAAATAATTTAATCATGGATTAAGAATATTTTTAATGCGAATTCACATAAAATATCCATTACTTCAAGTTTTTTATTAGAGGAATCATGCTTAATTTTTTTATAATCATTTTATTAAATAATTTATAAAATAAATAACAATAATAAAAGAGAATGAATTCTTAAAATTTATAACAAAAAATTGTGTAAAATCAATAATGAATCGTTAAAAATAACATCGCAGTATAAATTTATATTTTATATTTTTTAATATAAAAAATATTCATATGTTACATCTAATATAAATTATTTATCATTAATTTAAAATATACTCCCAGCATTTATTAAACATTTTGGACAAAACCACACAAATTAAGGAAAGTAATTAATGCAATAAATTTTATTAATTTTTTAATAAATGAAGTTGTATTCTAATTATTGATGTTTATCTCTTTTAAACTCGTTCTCAATATCTCTCACTTTTCACTTTAAAGTAAATTACATTGGTAATAACTTACTTTTGAAATATATATATTTTTTGAAATTGAATTATTATTTTAGATTTTTAAAACTGAAATAATTTAAAATTATGTCGTTAAATTGAAATATTTACTTTAAAATAAAATATTCATTTAAAATTATTCAAACAACTTAAATAGTTAAGCGGTAAAAAAAATTAAAAAAATTGAATTAACCAATTTGATTTAATTCACTCAAACTAGTTCAACTCACATCTAAACATTTATCCTGTTCAGTTTCATTATGTCCAAACTACTCCTAACCTTCACTCGAGTTTTATTGTAATCAAATTCAATTCATGCATTTTTCAAAAAAGAAAAAATCAAATAAATTCCTTTAATTTTTATCTCTTCCAATATGTTTTTAATAGAAGTAGACATAAATTAGTACTAATGTAAGAATTAAATAGTTCAACTAAGTTGATATTCTTAGAATCATATATCATTTACAACAATCAAATATTATAAACAAAATATTAAATTTATAAGAGTAGATCAAAACTCATAAATTTGTGATTTATGATTTTTTTTACTAAGATTGGGTTAAATGTAATTATTTAGTGATTATACGAGATAATATAAGTTTAAATCACAATTTTTAAATATCAAACAACTTATGTGAATTATTTTTATTAAAAATATTCTCGTTCAGTTGAAACATAGGTTGATTTAAATTATTTTCAGCTATAATTGAAGACGGTGAATATAGAGTATTTATAAACAACAATATGACAACAATGTAAAGTGGAATTTTAAATAATCAATATGTAAATATTTCTCAAGAATATTTTATTTATTTATGATTACCCCACAATGAGAATGAGGCTTCCAAGCAAATATAGACAAAAAAAAATGTTACATATTACGCCAACACAAACTTTAATTCCTAAAATCTACCCTGTGGAAAAAAAATATATTCTTCTTCCATCAACCAGAATAAGTTATTTATCTAAAAATGGAGATATGATAAACTTATTTTGTTTTTTATATACAAATAAAGAGAACTATCTCAATTGGTCAAACCAGCTGTAAACTTGACACCTGTCCTTGGAAGCCACGTGTCACCATTAATGAACCTCTGAACAGTGAAAAAGCTAGCCGTGGAAGCATCTTTGATTACATGATAACCGGGCCATCTGACCCGGGCCGCGACTGATGAGCCAGGCCCATAATTTCTGTACTCACCGTACCACAAAGTGTCGAGGGCAAAGTTTCCGAGCCATTCAAGCCACCCTCGGGGCTGGACAAGCCCACTCATGTAAGTGTTAATGTAAACTGTCCTGGAGTATTGCTTCCAGGGCCGGCCCAAGTAGGTGGGCTGGGTGGCGAGAACAAAGCTGTCCTGGATGGTGAAGCCGGTGGTCTGGTGTGGGCTTTTTCTTCCTTGGGCCGTGATGGTAACCTTCTGCAAGGGAAGTGGGACTCTGGTGTATATTTTGCAGTTTTGCAACACTGCAGCCCCATTGCCGAAAATGAAGTCTATGGTGCCATAGATTTCGCACTCACGGTAGAACTGTCGCAGGGAGTGGGCGTAGAGGGTGTCTTGGTGGCCTTCCACACTGCACCTGTAGAAGGCTGATTGGTCTGAATCCACACGCAGTGCCACCGCTTGATGGTTCACTGGCCCTGCTGTGTTCCGGAACGACATGTCCCTTGCAATGAAACCCTTCCCAGATACAGCTACACATTAAGAATCATCAATTGTCAACTTGTTCCAGTTGATGTAGAATGAATGCAAAATTTCAATGAAACAAGTATGATCTGATGCATGATGATTTTAATTACTTACCAAGCGTGGCAGTTCGGAAAGTGGTCCATCCTTGCATGAAATTACGGTTGCTAGTGATAATGGTTTGGCCAATACCATCTCCCACGAGCATGATGTTGGTCATCTTCTTCTTCATGTCTACATTCTCCTTGTAAAGCCCCTTTTTCACGTAAATAATGTACCTCCTTTCACTATGACTCGGTGCTGCATTAACAGCTTCGGATATAGAGCGATAGTGACCACTCCCATCCAAAGCCACAACCGCGTCCGCACGCACACCATGTGGCTTGGCTCTGAGCAACTCTTGATCACCCTCACTCATCCATTCGGGAAACTCCAAGGTTCCATCAGATTCAGTTGTTTTAGTAGTAGTGTTTCTTGGAGGCTTAAAGGGTAAGGTATGCAGTTGAGTGTACAAAGACAAAACATTGCTGATGAGTTGCGTGACTTGTGTCAAGCTTCCACTGATGTAGCTCTCAAGGCGTCTATCTGTGCCTTCGAACCCTTCAAGGCACGTGTCTTGGTTGCTCAGTGCTGCACTAAGCCACGCCTCGAGGTTGCCCTCGTATTGCACATTGGTATCTCCTGCACGAATTCTCCTCATCTCCCCCAACGACCATGCCAGCTCAGAAACCGAAAAATCCAAGAGCTCCTTGCAGTCTTCTATGGCTTGTTGCTCGCGGTAGCTGACGGAGAATGTGGTGATCTTAGTCATGTTGTCAATGGCCACTATTGCTTCATTGAGTGTTGCCTTGAGTGCTGCACTCATCACCGAAGTGGGGCTTGGAGGGCCTATTTTGGTGAGCTCGTTGTGGATGTTTGTGAGGCACGAGTTTTGGTTTTCAACGTCCATGCATGCTTGTGCAATCAATGCTTGCATGTCTTGGGTTTGGATTCCTGAAGGAATGGCTTGATATGAGAGAGCCTCAAATGAGGGTAAAAGCATGAGAATGAAAAGGAAACTGAGCATGGCCATGATCTTTTGGTGGTTAATGTCACAGAGAACTAACTAGAAAGGCATAGCAAGTATGCTCTTGTGGTCTTTCCAAGCACCTTTTATTTATACACGGGAAATGTGGCAGTAAGAATTTCTGTTTCCTTTTCTTTTGAGTTTTAACATTCACGTTGCTTTATGCTTTTTCTATGGACAAAGTACCAAGCTATTCTAATGCTTTCTTTTGTTGGAGGCATGGCATGATATTCTATGCTTTGAGCTTCATGGTGTCACTGCGGCTCAGCGTTGATAATTCCCACTTTCTCTGCACTGAGGTGCAACCAAATTGCTTCTCACATTTGATGATTGATCAAAAGTGTACATATATTAGGAAAATTATACTTTGATTTGATAAATATACAAACATACAAATGGGGAGGCTTATATATGAATGCCAAAAATACTCTAATAAAAGTAGTATTCTTTGCTTCGTAGCAATCGAAAACTCGAGTTGGATCTGGTTCCAAGTTGCTTTCACGTCGCCTTGCACTGCTTTTCGTCAAATAATAATACGTTATTTCCAACATTTTTTATTAGTCACTAAAATTAATAAAACCATAAATAAGACCCATTTAAATAAGAAGACTTTATGATTTTCGAAAAAATTTAAACTTATCACAAATAGTGTGTTAAGAAAATGTATTAGAGTAAAAGAATAACAACAATAAAGCTTTCCAAGTAGCATCGTCTTTAACTATGAAAGTTTAGAAGAAAGTGTTAAATATTACGGGCGCTAATATCAAACCTAAGTTCTGTAAATCTGGCCAGCAAATGCTGGAATACGAAAAATATTATTTACTTACTTGATTTTCCACGTCCACATCTTGAACTTTCTTTTTGCTGAATAGACAAAGTTAAATTTTCTGGTCTAACTTACACTGATGGAATTTTTTATCTCTACTTTTGATTCCATACGTGGATTGGCAACAGAATACGCCTTGTAAGCGTAACAGATAAGATTATATCAAATTTAATTCGAGGGGAAGTAACCTGGTGCTTTATTGGAGAATGTAACTTTAGAAGGTGAAAAAAATACCTTGGAAATCTGTCAATTTCACCTAATTGAACTTGCATGCCTCTTACTACGGTAATAGAGGTTAAAGAAAAGAAAATGCATTAGACATTTAAAATTTAGAATAAAAAGATCTTAATGAAGTAGCGTGGCTTCCAAGCAAAGAAAGTGTAACAGATTAAAAGCGTGGCTAATCCCATCTGATCTTGCACCCTCTTGCATGCAGTGTCTCCAGCATTTCTGAGGAAAGCAAGAACCTAAGGGACCTCTGCAGTTTGACCTTTTTAATCCGACCACAGCAAGCTCTGAGGGCAACTTCCAATCCTGTTACAGTGACTTTAGAAAGAAATACCAGTTTGGAATCTTGGAGGCGTTTCAGGTTACCCATAAGGAAGCACAACACCATATCTGACACGGCACAGTAGCTCATGTTTATCTGTCATCATCGCCACCATGTTGAGTTAGAACCTAATGTTGATAATATGTCTAATTATCTGTAATTTGAATTAGTTTTTGGGAGCTCTTTTTGTTATTATTTCAATTTTTAAATATTGTTTAGACAAAAAGAAAAATGTTAGATTATTGTTAAGGTTTAGGAAGTAAAAATTTAAATACTGATAATATTTGAGTTTTTGTTTCATTTTTTCTATGTTAGAGTCCATGAATAAATATGTTGTCGACACTCGTCCACATAATACATCTCTTATTCTTACAAAATATATTTTCAGAACATAAAAACCAACACCTAATATAGCAGTTATTCCATCATTACAAACAGTCGTCATCTAAACAAACATCAATTATTAACCTATTTGAAGAAAAATTAACATGTGGACTCCTAAAAAATATAATTAGAAGCTTTAATTATAGAAATCCTAAAGGGGAAGTAAAAACCGTTATTGAACCAACCATATTTTCTATGTTTAAATTATTAAGAGCATATAGACTTTCAATTGGAAAGGAAATAAAATTTATTGATGCTAGTAAGAAACATCAACTTCTTATAAAATGCAAGACTAACAGTTGTAATATGATAATATGTGGAAGAGAGACAAATAGAAAACCAGACTGATAGCATGCCTCCAATTTATGAAGAGTACAATATTATATATGATATTAGTTGGTATCTATTGATTCGAATCAATAGATGTGCACATAAGATATCTTTTTCTCGACAAATGATTTTCTTTTCTTCATTTGTCTCGAATAAAATTTTCTATACAACAGTTTTTACTTTAAAATTCAGCTTTAAATGTTTTTCCAAAATGGAGGTGAATAAGATTAATATTTGTAGAAGACATGGCAGAAACTTCAATCTAAAGAGCGAAAGATTTCCTATAAAAAAATTATAAATATGTTCTATTTACGTCCAGGGCAGAAGATAGATTAAATGTGTGACTGGAAGTACAAGAACATATAAATCAATTTTAAATGTATATAGTTACAATAGCATACAAAGTGAAGACAAACAAAACAATTAAGAAGGATTGCAGTGAGCCCAGACAAGTATCCAACCATGGTTCTTTGATCTTTGGAGAAATATAGTTTAGAATTTGTCAATCAGATCAAACCATATCACAGTTTATAACTGATGAAGTAACAAAGTTAGATGAGAATCAATTATGTTCCTCAAGGTAATACTCATAAATTTCATACAATGTTGACGTTTGAACTTAGAGGCCAGCTTACTGTGTTAGTCAGAACTCAGAATATTAATAACTTGATTTACTAAAAGTACTGTAACTGACCTGCCGCAGGTTTTGTGAATAAAAAGCAAGGGTCCAGAAACCTGAATCATCAATTTTTTCACAATGCTTCAGATCTAAATCTGCCAATCTCTGGCAACTTATTGCAACTGCTCTTATGCCAATGCTTGTGATATTTGAAAGCCCACGCAACTCCAGATCGGATAGTTCATCAAGATGGCTGATATACTCCATCCCTCTGTCTGTAATTCTATTGCAATATGACAAGTTGAGCTTTCTCAACCTCTTGCATCCACTTGTCAGCGCTGCCAGCCCATCATCTCCAATACGTACACAGCTGTGGTCAAAGAACAAGAGAACTAAACGGCATCATGACACTGTTCAAAATTTTATTGAATCATAGGCAATTAATCATATTGACTCCAAGGTTCAATTACCGATAGAGATCAAGTTCAGTCATGTTTGGGCAGTTACAAGCAATATGTGCCAATCCTATGTCTGATATGTTTGTGCATAATCCTAACTTCAATCTAACGAGTTTTGAACATCTTGATAGATATCTTAGTGCTGCATGAAACAGAAAGTTGGAAATAGATTAATCAGAACCATTTAAAATTATGAATAAAACTGATATATTATGTACAGGTAGAATTTGCATAGTTTACCTATGTCATCAACGCCAGAGCAATCAGTAAGATCAAGTTCTTCAAGCAGCAAGCAATTTAATCCAAGTTGATAAATACAATTCTCAGTCACCATATCACAAGATTCTAGCTTCAGACACACAAGGTCTGGACAAGAGTCTGCTATAGTAGTGATGGCTGCATCTGAGATGAACCGACAACAAGTCAAATCAAGAATCTTCAAATTGCAACAGCCAGATACTAGCTGCATAATTCCCTTGTTGGTCACGCCAATACATTTGCTTAAACCAAGTTCCACTAAAGACTTGCAATTGGTACCAATTGTCTGGAGGATAAAGTCGGAAACTCGAACACCATCAATTCTAATTATTCTCAGTTGCTTTAAATTCTCCAAGCATTTAACAAGGGGTGCTGAAAGCTCCTATAGAAAATGCATGACGTGTTAGTGTATACAAAACATATTACCATAAAATAAGGTACACAAAGATATCATACGCGCTACAAATTTTAGATTGAGACTTACAGAGAGACAATTTCCTGCATCCAACTGCTCAAGATCTCCATGCCCACTAATCAAAGATATTAAACCGGATGAGCTAACGCAATCACACCTCGATACATCAATTGCCTGCAATGCATGGATATATTCTATGTTTATGCTCCACAGAACCTTCGTGGTCAACTTTATTACTTTTTCAACCAGTATTGTCATAACTTATAACTTTTAAGAAATGAGTCACCTTAAGTAGTGGACACCCTTTTTCAAGAAACCGCAATCCGACATCATCCACTAAAGAGCAGCCCACCATAACAAAAACCTCAAGCCTTGACAGAGAAGCTATCGATCTCAAAGATTCACTTGTGACCTAATGATGCAAGATTTTTAAGTTACTTAATCGATATAATTTGAGGAAAGAAATAAACTCACAAAACAATACAGGCTGATTGTTAGCTAAGGTAATGATGCAAAACAGAAAATCGTATTGTCATTGAGATATGCTGTTGTTGGGAATGGTGTTAAGAACAACTTCACAAGTACAGTTGTGTATTATCCATAGTCAAGGAACAATGATTATAATAAATATACTCATTTTTTCTTTCGTTTTTTTTCCACTCCAGTTTCTTTCTTCCTATCAGTCTCTTTCTTTTCATCCCATTTGACATCTGTAACGTTCTCTCTTCACCTTTTCTTTTTCCTTTCTATATCTCTCTTCTTTCAACTTTCCAAGCATGGTGAAAGTTTAACATGACTCGTGAAGAAACTTGTTTTAGCAAATCTATTCATTCTGCATTGCTCTTAACTTCTGTAAACCAAAAATATAATGTCTACCTCTTCTGCAATCACCCTAAGCAAGTATGAACATGGGTGAGCCATTCAAATCACATGAAGAATTAGTGGGTACTTTCTTCAAAACCATTCAGGAATCAGAAATTGGATTTTAAAAAGTGTTTTTCTACCACCATAACAAAGATAGCGAATAAAGTGGTTTGCTGAAGTCTCTAACCTCTTGGTCAACTTTGTGAGCTAAACCAATTTTCAATAACAGGGTATAAAGTTTCTCACATGACTCAACTCTGTATGACAAGTTGTTGTACCATTGACAGATAATCATTCCCTTGAAACATATAATCAGAAATTCAATCTTCACGTTAGTGCGTATAGAACAACAACATCTCTTACAAAAAATTCAGTTTCTTAAATGGAATCTCAATATCTAGAGAAATTAGTATTGGACTCTTTGGCCAAAGATAGTCAATATTTTCACCTAAAAATAAGACTCTGACATCCACCATTTCTCTCTCCCTCCATTTATTCATCATTATCAACGGAAAAGTTAAAATCATGCACCCACTTTCTATTCAATATCATTTTCATCCCATTTTTACTGACAACATTCTTTCTTTTCTCCCCATTTCTCTCTTCCATCCACTCCAAAATGGGGGTGAACGCTAATCAGCACTCTTACATCAGTGATATACATTCCTTTAGTGAGAAATAGCAACAAACCTTGAGATAGGACACATCAAGAAATTTCAAGTCCAGGCACTTCTTGCAAAGAAGATCAATCCCCAGATCAGAAATCTCCAAGCACCACTTTAAACTCAGCTTCTCCAATTTCCCACAGCCGACAGCAATCTTCGCCAACCCAATATCAGTTACTCCCAAGCACTTATCCATGTTGAGTTCCCTCAACCTTGCGGCGCACGATAGCGCCGCGGCTTCTCTGTCCCCATAGCCCCAACAGTGGGACACATCGACGGCCTCCAACATTGGACACGCCCGAATGAGGATCTCCAAACCCACATGGCCCAACCCGGTGGCGCGACTCAGCACGAGCCTCCTGAGTCCCCGAGTCCAGCTCGCCGATCCCTGACTCAGCAAAACCGACACGACTCCGTCCTCGATCCGCGGACACAACGACAGGTCCAGCGTCTCAATGTTGCAGAACTTCTTCAGCAACCCGACAAGGAACTCGATTCGGAGGATCCGAATACTCTTTCGGGTCGCTGATTCGACCCGGAGAAACTCCTTGCACACCAATCGCCAAGGTTTCCGATCCGGCCCAAGCTTCTCCAGGACGCGGATGAAAAGGTCCTCTGTCAAGAGGCAGAGAACGGATTCCGACAACATTAAGATTCCAGAAATTTCGTAATTCCTATGGTTTTATTCAGTGGTTGTTGTTGTTTTGACGTGGAATTGAAGGAAAGAGATTTAGGTGGGAACAAAAAGGAAGAGGAGGCGAAGGTGGAGAAGAGGGTGGTGCGTGCGTTTGGAGAGCGTGCGAAGTGGCAACCTGCGACGAGACTTCTCAGGCTTCATTGTTTTTGCGCTGATTTTGTCTGACTAGAGTGGGAAATTGACTGAGGAAACAGAAAAGGAGGGAATAAAATGTTGAATAGAAAGAGTGAGAAAGAGGAAAATTGATTTGGATTAGATTTTGGAGTGTGCGTGTTTCACACTCTCGCTTTCATCGGGTACGGGTACGGCCATGTCCTAACCGTTAAGCGGCTTCGTGGACGCTGCTGCTGTTTTATTGCCATAAATGTTCTTCTTTCATGAAGAGGTGGGAACAGAGAATTAGGAAGGAACAAAATTAACACGAATGAGGTTGTCCTTGACCCTGCTTTGGACAAAACTTGGAGATGAGCGAAAATTTGCCCAAGATTAATTTAAAAGATGTTTATTTCCCAATCACATGGACGAATCATTCTTTTGTTCAGATTGATCTTGTCAAGTTGACACCAATTGTTAAAATATGATCATTTCTCTTATTTTAATTTAACTCTTTTATATCAAATATAATATATATTATGAGTGGATTACAATTACGAATTCTGATAATGATTTATTTAATAATTTTTAAAATATAAAAAAAAATATTTATATGATTTAGCATAAACATGCTCTGTGTCTATTTTTCTACCTATGCGTTTTGATTACATTAAAGTAATACAATTTTTTTTCTTTAAAATAGTAATTTTATAATAATTATTTGAAAATAATCTGTAAAAAAAAAATACTGTAAAAGACTTTGTCTACTAGTGAATTGTTACACATTTATAATTATTTAAAAAGAGTTTAATCCCATACTGCTTCGGGAAGCAGGACACGGTTTCGTAGTGAAAGGTACGGTTTGTATATATGTTCTACGAAATAGTCACCGTACCTATCTATAACCTATTTGAAATCCAACGGTTCATATTTACTAACTTGCTTAGTGCCAGTAGGACCTGCCACATGGCAGTTCTTTGCTTAGCAGCATCACCACTGTGTCCACAACTTTAGATTCAGCCTCTTCGTTTCGTTCACTCCATCTAACGGACCAAAATTTACTTAATAGATCATATTTATATTAACTTCGATAAAAATAAAATAATTATTAAATCAATATCCTTATATTCCTTTTAATGCTCCATCTGATATGTATTATATTATAAGGTATAATTAAAAAAAAATAAAGTTATGATTTTAATAAATTGAACTTTTTATTTATTTTTAACGACGTGGTTATATATATATATATATATATATTTATTAATAATAGTTAATAAAATTGGATCAATTAATTATATTTTGATATATATTTATCCGAAATAGCATTAGAATGAGTTCCATCATCCATCTAATTATACCACCGCGGTTCCACAGTTGTCAGTTAGGAAGCGTTACATTTAAAATCTTCAATTTCAAATCCTTTCTTATAGAAATGTAAGGTGATTTTAAAAATATTTTTATATTTTACTAAAAATTAGTATTTTTTTAATTTTTTATCAATAGAAATAGACCATGTATAAAATAATTTCCAATCCTTTTCACCAATCTAACTACAAAAGATATTTAGATTTTAAAAAATAAATAAAAATTCTATTGTCACTCTAGTCACTTTATGTTTTCTTTTTTAAAAATAAACTTATTGTTTAATTTGATTAACATACAAAATTACAAAAAATAAAAATAATAATAAATATTTTTGAGTTATAATTAATATTTTTAAAATTGAATTAGTCATGAAAACTTTAAATTTGAATATTCTATTAAGATTTAATATATAATAAACTTGTTAATAATAATATTTTTTATAAAAAATAAAATAAAATTTTTAATTATGATAAAAATTATAAATATAAAATATATTAAAAAATATAAAATATAAAATGAATAATTAATAAAATATGATAGTAATTTGATTATTTAGAAATGATGATAGTAATTTGGTGATAACATGGTACCTTAAATTTATAAAATATTAATAATAAAAAATTAATGAAAATATTAAAAAAAAACTATCGATTTTTTTCCTTGAAAGGAGATAAAACTATCACGGTTAAATATTGATTATTTATTATATAATTAGAACCTATATATTCTTTAAAATCAATCCAAAAATATTGAGTAGTGGTATGAGACGAGATAATATTTTTAATTTTAAAATAAATATTTTTTTAAACATGTAATTTTTAAAATTCATTTAAAAGATTAAAATTATTTATATATTGAAATAAATTAAAAGCTACTTACCTTACAAAGTTACTTTTTCTTTTTTTTAAAAATATGCAATTATTTTATACAATAAACAAATTTCTACACGTATGTTTAATCTGTTTATTTATTTTCTTTTAAAATAAGTAATTATTTTAGAAACATTTAATAAAATTAAGTAATCACACAAAAAAAAACTTCTTATTTTTTATTAAAAACATTATTTAACAAAAAAAACACGCATTTTAGATAAATTTGTAAATAATGAACAAAAATCATTCATTCTTCTTTCCCAAATATTTTTTCCTTTTGCTATTTCTCGTAAAATTTTCAATCACTGGTCATTCGCAATCTCTTTCTTTCCTTCTCTTTCATATATATAAAATTATAATGCAGCTTTAATTCCAAGGGGAGGCAATGGTAAAAATTATGTAAAACCAGCAATTTTATATTAAAAGATGCAGGAAGCATATATTAGAGCGAGCAAAGTGTACTAATAATAAAAAAAAAAAAGAGACTGGAGGGCGGAGAGAAACTCAGAGAAATGTGGAAGATTCCATTCCCAGACCTTACAAAGGTCTCATAATGAGCTGGGATTCACATTTATCATCATCGCAATTGAACAAAATCCAAATATAAAAAACAAGACACGTTTAAAGGTTGGGTGTTGAGGATTCGACACTGAGCTCCTAAAATATGTGCGTGACCTATGAACAAATCCCATACTATCATAGATTAGCGGCAAAGAAAATGAATCGAAAAGAAGCAAGTGCAAAAACCAAAAAGGGAAGAACAGAACCCAGGATCAAGGTCATGCAATGCGAGTATCGCAGACGAGGTTTTTAAAGAGAGCGGCGACAGCATTGCTAGGGCTACATGGGACAAAGCGAGAAATTGTAAAAGAAGAAATGTAAACTTGTTAGGGCCCATAAGTGGAGGCCTTTTCCAACTGTTTGGGCCTTATTTCAATTCCATCAAGTATGAGGCCACCTTTTAAATGCACACCTTTGACCTCCCTGAGGCTCATTCTGACCTCTTCATTCGAATGGGTGTGGAAATTACCCAACTCAATATCCCACCATTCGTCATCCTCAACCCGACGATGAAAATAGCCATTCATGTTTCTTTTGCGACGTAAATGTATGCAAACAGTTCCTTGTGATTTGTGCTTCCCAATTTCTACCGACACCTCCGACGGTAACAAGTCTAACCCGTAAGCACGATCCGCGGTTTTCACTTTCAAGTACGCTCCGTACAAGGTTTTGGGAGATAACATTCCGCTGTTTATGCTGCCCTTTATTTCCAGCCAGCAAATGGTTCTGAGCTCCGCGGCTTCCTCAAATCTACACACAAATGTCAAATGAATTTGTAATTGGCAATGATATGGTTGAAAAGAGAAAAGGGAAATTGGTTGAAATTTGGGATGATGACGGTGATGACGACGACGCAGAAACAAACCTTGAGCCTTGGATGGGTTTCCAGGACCAATACAGAGGGCTGTCTCCCCATGCAATTGAAAGCTCCCTTGCGCTCAACAGGTAACATATTTTCCCACTTCTTTTCTCAATCCACAGCATCTGTTTCCTTCACAACCATAACTTAGTACTAATTTTTACTGTGAAATATGTTTTAACTGTTTTCTTTTATAATACACATATCAAAAGGTGATTTGAACAACCACAGACAGCGGCGCAAATATGAATTCACATATTGAGAATTCATATTTGCTCCACCGCCTGAGGATACTCAATCAACACTTTTATCTTAAAAGTTGCATTGTTTTGTTAGTACAGTGTTACTCTCTTTCTAGTATTTTTCTTTTTAAATCTTACACTATTTTTCAGTTTAGAGAATTAAGAAACCATTAATACTCTTCTTAATAATTTTCGACAATCATGACCAATATCAATAAATCATTTGTGAAATAATAGCATCATTCTCATAATTGTATTACATTTTTTTTTAAAAAAAGGCATTAGATACAAATATAAATATGAATTGACAATTGTTGTTATTAGTGTATATCATTCAGTGAAACAACAATTATTTTTCCGAAATATGAATGCTTTAATTTTAAATAGTCATGTTCATGTATAAACTTAAGTTTTAGGTTTTTAAATATTTAATTATACAAAAATCATACATTTATTCTGCACACATTTCTCTCCTTGAATACAAATAATCATTTAGGGTAAGGAAAGAAAAAAATAAAAAATAAAATAAATAACTTACTTATTTATTTAAGAAGAAAATGATATGGAATAAAAAAATTAATATTTTTAAATAATAAATAAATTAAATATTAAGTAATTATAAAATTAAAATATTATTTATATATTTATTGTTTATACGAGGGATATTTGATTTTGAAAATTAACCTTTTTTTATATATTTTGTACTATTTTCTCTTTATGTATAAATGGAAAACAAAATAACCCGCAGTGGAATGAAAACTAATATATTATTTTATTCTTTTATTTATTGAAAATAAATTTATTGTTTATTTTCTTAAATTAATCACTTTTTATATATCTTATATATTTTAATTTTTCACGAGACAGGAAGGAAAAAAATATAAAGAATTAGTATTTTCAAAATTTACATTTTAATATTTATATATTTATATATATATAATTATATAATTACTTAATTTTAATTATTTAATTTATTTATTATTAAAAGTGACAATTTTTTATTGAAGGTTATTATCTTTTTAAATAAATATTTTTTTTTACCTTTTTTACAACTTTTTTTCTTACAACCACTTATAAGGCTAGACATTACCTGCCATCCATTCAATAACTATTTTAATATAATAATAATAATAATAAAAGTTTAAAATTTTGATTATTATTATTATTATTAGATAAAGTTATAGAGTAACTATTTTATGAAAAACTCGGTTGTTTCCAATGATTTATATACTAACAACGTTTTGCATGAGCATGGTTGCCATTTATAAAGACTACAGCAAATGACAAGGTGTTGGTAGATCATGCAAACTCTTCAATTAGAGTTTACATTCGACCAAATTGTGATTTTGCTATGACCCTTTATAATACACAATCATGCATCAAACACAACTTCATAAACATCGACATAATAATTGTAGAAAATTACCTTGTTACCGTCGTCGATTGGTCGTGGATTGCATAACAAGAGAAACAATTCTTTGTTTGAAGAACAGGGCAATGAAGGGGACACCAACCTAGAAACAATTTCTTGATAATTGAATGGCAAAAATTTCTCCCACACAGTATCTGAATCTGCCATTGACTGCACAATGGAGGAGACCAGAGAGGACCTGCACGCGTCCTGAGGGGATGTGAACGACAAAATGTGCGCAAAGCAATCGTAGGGCAAAAGTTCCATCTTCTGAAAACAAAGCCAAAATCAAAATTTTCAGTGCATAGTTGCTTCCACAATAAACAAGTAAGTTTCTGTTTCCTTTATATATAAGGTAATTACATGGTCCAAGGAATGAAGTATATCGCTAGTATGACGACATTTTCTTTACTCTCAACAATATGTCAACATGGAACCACAATATGAGCACATCCAACAAATCACAATTGGAATTTGGAAGTGAATGTGAATCACACGCATCATGAAATATCTCTATTTCTAATTTTAATGAAACACTGACGTTTACGTTGTTTTCGTAAATTTAGAAATTTCAAATATTATGAATACATTTTGTCCTAATGTTTAATAATATATCTTTAGCGTAATTTATGATGAGATATTTTTATTGTTAATTTCTTAATCAATTTTTAATTTATATTACTATTTTTTTTTTAAATACTGCTTTACTGCAAACACAATTTATATACGACTTTACAATGTCCGAACAAATAACCCGAAACAGCATAACATGAGCGGTTGTTCGATCCGAATGTCACAGATAAAAAGATTTTGTGCATCATTTTTCAAACAAAATAAATGGAAAAAATCGCAAGCATTCACTTGGTATCCGAAAGAAAGTTCGAAAAAGTATAACAATCTTTTCCTCTCCATCACACCAACACATCAAATTTTAAAATTCAGAAAAACAAATGTAAAGATAAATTTAACTTATACATAAATTATAAAGTAAATATTTTAAAATAAATACAAAAAAACTTCTGCAAATTATTTATATAAATGTATTTAAAAAATAATTATGTTTTTTTATTAAATAAAAGCCTCTTTGAAAATTATAAAAGTCTCAGTTGAATATTACTATATCTTGACAAGTTCATTATAGCAAATTTGTTAGTCTAATAAAACTACAAAAAAACTTAGTTTAATCATTTTAAAAATCTTTTTAATCATTACAACATACATTTTTTTAGTCGAAAATCTATTTTTTCCATAACAATAAAATGTCTTTTTTCATGCTAAAAGGGATCAAATGTAAACTCGAAGTAAAGAATAATGCTTCAACCGTTGGAAAAGAACATGACAAAAGAAATGCTAGTTCCATCTTATTCCTTTTTTTAATACAACTTACTGACCTAATATTGGTTATTATTTTAATCAAATTTTAGGGTGCTCGTCATCTTCTTCGGTCTCCGTGGCCCACGCTGCTTTGTGCTCTACTGCTTCTTTTTCTCTGTTCTGACGTATTTGTTGTTTTCCATCACCCTCTGTCCCAACTACTGTTTCTTGTTCTATTACTTCTTCTTCTCCATTTGAAGCGAGATCGTGCGGTAACGATTCTCTGTTGGGGCAAGATTCTATTTTTGATGTTGTTTGGTTCTAAAAGAACGGGCTTTCGTTTTCTTTATATAATTGGTACATATTTTTGCAGTAGCCAGTTATGAAGATGTGTTGAGAGATGAAATGTAAATGGGAAAGTGAGAGGTAGATATGCAAAGGTGGTGCGTGCCCACGCAAGCAGATAACTTGGAACAAGAATTGCTGGAGCTGAGAGTTCCTTTGGGTCAGAATAAGAATGGAAGGTATCAACTCGTGCTGGTTTAGTTTCCATCACATGATTTGAAAACATGTCATGACTCACTTTGGGTAATCACGTTCATGTAGCAATTTACAAAGAAATAAAAAAAAAAAAAATTAGAGAACCTATTAATGATCTTCTAGCTTCATAGAGTATCCAATGTTTGTATGACTGTGATTGTGAATGTAAATGCTCAAAGCTTTATAGTGTTTATAACTGGAGTTCTTCTGGAACTGGAAAATTTGCAGTTAAGAAAAGAGGAAGTAATGATGGTGGTGACTCATTGAATTATTATTGTTCAACAAGAGTGAGTAATGAAAGGGAGAGAAACTTTGACATAGTGAATCACATGGTGGCAGATAACAACTAAAAACGAAAAAATATAACTGTAAAAACTAAATAATTATCTCATATATTTTAATATTGTATATAATATATATTTTGGTGTAACTTGTATATAATATATTAAGGTAATGTCTATACTTTTTCAAGTAATTTAATTGAAATGTTTTACAAGTTATTTTCTTTCAAATATATTATTTAATCTTTACATATTTATTTTTTAGATAAAATATGTTTTTATACAATAATTATATTTTTTTTGTTTTTATTATATTTGAAATAATGATTTTTTATATAATAATTATGATCAATATTTACTTTTATATTATTAACTATTCAATTTCATTTTTCATTGTTACCTTCAAGAAAAATTATTAGTTTTATTATTTAGTTTCATAGTAGGATTTACTATTTAAGAATGTGTTTTCTTTAATAGTGTTTTATATTTAATATAAAGAAAATTATCATCATCTTTTTAAATAGTATAAAAGTTTTTTATATGATATATATATATATATATATATATATATATATATATAATAATAATTTATACAACTTAAAATTATTTATTTTTACATTAAAATCATAGTATATAACTAATTATATATATATATATATATATATATATATATATATATATGAAAATTGAATACAATATTTAATTGTATTAAAATAATTATTTGTTATTATATAAAAAAAATATTTTAAGAAAAATATTTTCAGATAATTCGAGTTCAATGCTGGTGGTGTAAGTGTAATTTTTTCAATTTTTTATTTTACTATTTTCTTTTGTTTTTATCAAGGATATTATTAGTGAATTAAAATGAATAAATAAAAAGCGATATCCATTACATAAACTCAAAACTCATTGAAACATCTCCCAACATCAATAACATATTTAAAATAATAATAATTATCTACAAATTTGGTACTTGATATATTTTTTACCATTTTTTTTCTCCATTAATTTTAAGTGTATCTGAAGTAATATATAGAATTTAGCTAGTCAGATTGATGCATTGACTAGCAGCATAAAGAAAGACTATGCAGCTGAAGAGGAACACAAAAACACCAAACTCTCCCACCCAATAAAGAGGATTGGACCATCACCATCACCATCGCCAACATTTCTGAAATGGTGAGTGAGAGGGAAGAAGAGACGAACAAGAAAGGTAAGCAATTGGAAGAAGACAAAACATAAGAATACCATCCTTGTCAACCATTCTCTCCCTTCCTTTTGGACAAACCAAATTCTAACATCAGATCCACCTTCAACTTTCATTCTTCTCTTTCAATGTTAACTTCCCATTCACAAAACATGTGATTTTTAAGTATTTTTCTTCTTATTTCAACTACAACTGGAAAAATAGGTCACAGGTCAAAATAATGTGAACTCACTAAGCCTTATATCAAACCCACGTCCCAACCAACTATTTTCGTTTTATTTTAAAAGCAATTAAACCTTCAATCAAAATTTTAATACACACTTATAAATTTTATATTATTTAAATTTAAAATATTTCTATATTTTTTAATCTATCAATATATTATTTTTAAATAAAATTATAAAATAATAAAGTTTTTAAATCAAATAATATCTTAATCCTGAAAATTTTAACTATATTGTTATCCTATACAGTAGAATAAGACGATCTGAACACATAGCGGGACCCACACTCTAGTGTTCTACCTTCTTTAATTGCTTAATTATTTAATGTCAGTTATTAATATCACTGTTACTTAAATTTTGTCCTAATTATATAGTTATCTTAATCATTATTATAATAAACATTACTATGCTATTATACTTAACTTAATCTTTATTATAATAATGCTTAGAAAAATAATGTAGAAAAGAAAAACCCTATAGCAATGAATAAATAATAATAATTTTTATTTAATAATAAAAAAATGACAAAAAAGAAAACATCACATTCTTGGAATCTACATATTTATTTTTCTTTTATATATAATAAAAAATGTAAAAAATATAATATTTTTTTCATAAAATTAGTTGTACTTAAATAAATAATTATTTATATTATAATTTTAATATATATTATTAATTATTATTTTAATAAAATGTCATAAATTTAAAAATAATTATAGAAATAAAATGAATAATCTTATATATTTTGTATTTATAATATTATTTGATTAATAAAAAATAATTAATAATTATATAAATAATTTATTATTAAATAAATATTTAATTTTAATTTAATTATGTCATTTTCTTTTTAAATGAATAAGATTATCTTTTACTCTATTATTTATATATATTATTATTTACCATTACTGTGAGCAAAACAAAACCAAGAATTTTCCAGCAGAAAAGTGGTTGAATGATAGTGCATGTGCAGGTATATATGCGGCTAGTATAAGACATAAAACATACGATGTGGAGTGATTCTACCCCTTTTGCTTTTAAGCAGAAATTTTCAAAAACTACTTTTACATTACCACCAAAGAAGACCGATCCAGAATCCAACCACAACCTAATCACCATTTCTTCCCTCATCATGCCATGTTGACATCCAAACTTAAACTATATTATGATATTACCCACCTAACCTCACTATGCAAGTCTTTTGCAACCACACGTAAACTATGCATTCGTCTCTTCTTTGAATTTTTAGGAGAATAGAAATCACTGTTGTTTTAGACATTTTTTCTAATTTTTTTAATGAGGGTGTAACGCAACCGTTGCGAGTGAGAAAGTGCAGACCCACCTCTCTCACACTGTCTGCTCCACACTCCCCCTTTGTATTTTCTGCCATTATTATTCCTTTGTTTTGTTCTTCCGTTTTACACTTTCCCCCATACTTCTCTTCTGTGTTTGGAACCCAATCAATTATGAACAACTTTACAAAAACACACTCAACAACATTACTCCCACCCCTTTAAGGTAAAAGCTCAACAACAACAAAAACTTCAACCGTAACCATTCCAACAACATTACTTTCACTGTCTACTCGGCATCACTGAATCAGAACCCGTTTTTTTTTTCCCAATGCCGCCACGTCAAACTCCCTTCTTCGCCGTGTTTCTATGTTTTCTCAATGCCTATTCTTGTGTCTTTGCCACCCAATTTGACTTTGGAACCTTAACCATGAGCACTCTGAAGCTTCTTGGTGATGCCCATTTGAAAAAAAACACCGTCAGCCTCACCGGCGAGCCCGCTGTCCCAAACTCCGCAGCCGGCAGAGCTCTTTACTCCGCCCCCGTCAGATTCCGGCAATCGGGGTCCCCTTCTCCGGCAAGCTTCTCCACCTTCTTCTCCTTCTCCGTCACCAACCTCAACCCCTCCTCCGTTGGCGGCGGCCTCGCCTTCGTCATCTCTCCAGACTCCACCGCTGTCGGCGATTCCGGCGGCTTCCTCGGTCTGCAAAACGCCGCCGCCGCCACAGACAGTGGCGGCGGGTTCATCGCTGTTGAATTCGACACCCTCATGGACGTGGAGTTCAGTGACATTAACGGAAATCATGTGGGGTTGGACTTAAACAGCGTTGTTTCGGCGCAAGTTGGCGACTTGGCAAGCGTTGGAGTGGATCTCAAAAGCGGTGACTCGGTGAACGTTTGGATCGAGTACGATGGAAGTAGCAAAGTGTTGCGCGTGTGGGTCTCGTACTCAACTGTGAGGCCGAAAGATCCGATTTTGAATGTGGATCTCGATGTGGGTATGTATGTTAATGATTTCATGTATGTAGGGTTTTCTGGGTCTACCCAAGGTAGCACCGAGGTGCACAATGTTGAGTGGTGGAGTTTCAATTCCTCTTTCGATTCCGCGGCGGCTCCTGCCGCCACGTCAGCACCCTCCGCCTCCTCAGCACCTGAGCAGAAGGAGAGTAAGTCTTCTAGGAAGGGTACTGTGGGGGCAGTTGCCGGGGTTGTGACTGCTAGTGCTTTTGTTCTTGCTCTCTTTGCTGGTGCATTGATTTGGGTGTATTCTAAGAAGGTGAAGCGTGTGAAGAAGTTTGATCATTCTATTGAATCGGAGATTATTAGAATGCCTAAGGAGTTTAGCTACAAGGAGCTGAAATTGGCCACTAAGGGGTTCACTGCTAACAGGGTCATTGGTCATGGTGCTTTTGGGACTGTGTACAAGGGTGTGTTGCCTGAGAGTGGTGACACTGTTGCGGTGAAGAGGTGTAACCACAGTGGTCAGGGTAAGAGTGAGTTCTTGTCTGAGTTGTCTATAATTGGGAGTCTTAGGCATCGGAATTTGGTTCACCTTCAAGGTTGGTGCCATGAGAAAGGTGAGATTTTGTTGGTGTATGACTTGATGCCCAATGGGAGTTTAGATAAGGCTTTGTATGAGGCTAGGATGCCTTTGTCATGGCCTCACAGGCTCAAAATTTTGTTAGGTGTCTCATCTGTCTTGGCCTACTTGCATCACGAATGTGAAAACCAGGTAATTCATAGGGACATTAAGACTAGTAACATTATGTTAGATGAAGGGTTCAATGCTCGGTTAGGCGATTTTGGTTTAGCAAGACAAACAGAACATGACAAGTCTCCTGATGCCACTGTGGCTGCCGGGACAATGGGGTACCTTGCGCCAGAGTATGTGCTCACTGGTAGAGCCACAGAGAAAACTGATGTGTTTAGCTATGGTGCTGTGGTTCTTGAGGTGGCCAGTGGGAGGAGGCCTATTGAGAAAGATGCTGCTGCAAATGGTAAAGTTGGGGTTAGCAGCAATTTGGTGGAGTGGGTTTGGAGTTTGCATCAAGAAGGTAAGTTGTTAACGGCGGCCGATCCAAGGCTTGAAGGTGAGTTTGAAGAAGGGGAGATGAGGAGGGTACTCTTAGTTGGGTTAGCTTGTTCACACCCTGATTCAATGGCAAGACCTTCTATGAGGGGTGTGGTTCAAATGCTGCTTGGTGAGACTGAAGTGCCTATTGTCCCTAGAGCCAAGCCATCTACTGGTTACAGTACTTTTAACCTTTTATTGAGTTTGCAAGATAGTGAATCTGACTGTAATAATGCTATGATCACCATCTCTACCTCTTCGTCAGAGAACAGCCTCAATGGCAGAGACATAGTCTGATGGAAGTCTAGAGCTGGTATCTTGTCATTTTTTAATTATTTATCCAAAATGTAGATAGAGCGATATGTATTCTTTGGTTCATGTATGTAAACCCCAATAACATTACAATTGAAGGCCTTGAGAAAGGAAAGGATTTTGTGGATTAAGCAATTTTTGCCTTTAGCATTCACAGTTTGTGGTAGAGTGATTCTGTTGTACATTTTTGGTATTAAATTAAATGGACCTTGGTGCAGAAAAATGCAAGATGCTGGTGTTGAGTTAGAGTGTTACATGCAATGTAGGGAAGGTCGTGGATTTTTATATGTTGTTATTGTTCACTTGTTCCACCTCTAATTCATGTGCAGTGGTTTAGAGCATGTTGGAATCAACTAACTGATGCTAAACACCATTTTCTTTCGACAATTAGGTTTTACCGACCATGGTGTAGTGAGAACAGGCAAGATATCTAAAGCCTTCTCTTTTTCTAGAAATCCAGGAATTTTTTGTGTCATTTTTTTAATTTGCCAAATTCGTTCTTAGAATCTTTTCAACAACAATTTTTACCAAGGAAACTTGACGGGTAGATAATGCATATATATTATATCGATGCCATAGACAACAATCTAGAGGAAGGAACTGCGTAATTTATTTCTACTGTCCTCCATGTGATACTTTCTTGCAACAGCAATGTTTCTAGCCTCACACTTGAAGGTGCCTCTCCTTGTTTAGGTTGCTGTCCATGCTTCTGTGTGCGACACCATTACGACTCACCATGGCTGAAAGTCTGTCACATTGACTTTTGTTGCAATTTTTCGATGGTGACATTGAACTGTTTTCTTTTTAAGTTTTTTTATTTGTTTTGTATGATGAACAGCTGGACTTGGAGGCTCAAATTATCTTGTAAGTCTAGACCTAGATCTATGTGAAAACAAATAAATAATGCTACTTTTCTAACATTTCAAGGGGGAGTTTAGTCTTGATTTTTGTCTTATTCTTCACATTTGTTTCTGCTCAATTTTCTTATTCTTGACATTATTTTCCAATTGTGATTTTGAGAATATAAGAATGAGAATAAATAATTTTAAAAAATTATGAAAATATATTTGTAATTATGAAAATACATTTACTTTCTTCTCACATTGTAAAAGAACGAAAAGTATTTCCTATAAAAACTACTTATTCTCATTATATCCTTTCACATCCCCTTTTTCACTTTTACTTTTTCAATTAATAAATTCTAAATTTTGTAAAGTTATTAAACATATATAAAGAAAAAACATCCTAAAGTATAATATAGTTCTGTTTCTCTGATAACTTTGTGGGAGACATGCATAATTTGAACTTCGACCAAAACACAAGAAAACAATTGGGCCGAAAAAACATGGTTTGAACAAATTGTAGAGAGGATAAATAGAATCCATGATTCAGAAAACAAAGTGAACCATACTCTTATACCGATAATCACGTCTAGAATTTTGGCTCGGTTCAAATTAACAACTGAATCTGATAGATAACTGGCTTGACTCAATCAAAAGTTCACACTGCCCAAATTATGTATTTTAAAAAAACTACTGAGGCAGGCACAGACACAGGCATAGGCACACACTCTTGAAGACAACTCTAGCAAACACCATTCATCTTGTCATTGAGCTTCTTCCTCTCCAACACAAACTTTTTCCAAACCGCAGTGATTTCTCTCTGTGTCTCCAGAGCACTCTTCTTAACCACTCTGTCATTTTCTTCTGAGTTGACTATCACACTGGTGCTACTTATCACCCTCGCTGGAAGAGAATCAAGCTCATGCACCACCTTTTCCACATCAGCCACCAGACGCTCTGCAAGGGTCCTTGAGAAGTCCTCCCTGATGACAACACGAAGCACTGTGACATGTTGAGCATCTGGGGGCATGGTATATGCTGGCACAATCCACCCAAAACGCCTCAGCATGTCGGAGATTTGGAACTCGTCAAAGTGGGTGTGGTCTTTCAGGGTGAAGGCCACCAAAGGCACGCCGTTGTCTTTGGACACAATGGCAAACCGTCCTGTCTTCTCGAGTCCCTCTTTCAGCACCAACATGTTGTCTCTGCAATTTTCCATCACGTTTCTGTAGCCCTGCAATCACATTCACAGCATCAAGTTTTAATAGGTGATTTGAATCTTTCACAAAGTGATCAGAGTGTGAATGAGAAATGCAACACAGTCTCTAATCTTGCACATTTTTTATCATTGGTGTGCAAGCAATATGTACACTGTTAATTTAAAATAAATTTGAAGGTAATTATTCTTAAGTGGGTGTCTTGGTTAATCTTATTACCTCAAAACCAAGGCGGATTAGTTGGTAGTATTGAGCAATGACTTGGCTGGAACCTGCATTGCATATTTTGTGAAACAATAAGCATACTCGTGCATAAACCAATGAATGGTTTGGTAGAAAGTGCAGGTAAATTGGGCTTGTTGTTAGTGGTACATAGATAGACTAAAACAGAGTAATTGAATATGTGTTACCTTTGGAGAAGTTAAGTGTGAAGGTGGGTTGATCAGCTCCAAGATAGTTGATATGGAAGATGAGTTCCTCAGGCAAATCCTCCTTGCTTCTCCAGATAACCCAACCAATTCCAGCATACACCAAACCATACTTGTGTCCACTAACATTGATACTCTTCACTAGTGGTAACCGGAAGTCCCACTCAAGCTCTGGGTATATAAATGGGGCAATGAAGCCACCACTGGCTGCATCAACATGAATGGGAGTGTCCCACCTACCAAATAATTTCACATGTCAATTCATCCACTCTAAAATTTTAAAATAATTCTAAACATATTCAATCTAAACATGGTGTGAAAGCAAGGAGCATTTATGGAGAGGGAGAGGAAGAAAGAAAGAGTGGTACCCAGTTTGCTTATTCTTTTCAACTAGGAGATCGTTGAGGCGTTTGACATCCTCAAACTCTCCATTCAGTGTAGAGCCAAGGATAGCAGCAACACAAATAGTGTTCTCATCCACCAATTCCACGGCCTTGTCAGGGTCCATTATATAGTATCCATCACGCAGCTTCACTTCCTTCAACTCCACTTCAAAGTACCTCGCAAATTTCTCCCAGCAAACCTTCACACAGACAGAACCAAAACTCTGATCAATTCCACACTCAACAAACAAAGCTAGAACCTATTGCATGTCATGTCGCTGTTCTTGAAAAATGAAAACTTCTGAATTTTACCTGAACGTTGGCTCCAGTGACAATGTTGGGTTTGTCATAAGGCTTTCCCTCTTCTTTCCTTCTGTTTTGCCACTTCCTTTTGAATGCCAATCCAGCCAACATTATGGCCTCTGATGAACCGACCGTGCCTACACCAACTGCAGCTTGAGATTCTTCAAGTGGTGCATTAAAAAGATGAGCTATCATGTTCACACATCGATTCTGCATGCATTCAAGAAAGAAAGAAGTGGAATGTCAATACTTTTCATTCTCAATTCTCAAGTTTAATCATGCTATTTTCCTCGTACAATTTATGTGTTGTATATAATTTTGTCTTACAATTGCAGCAGCTATGAAAATCATAAAAAAAAGTGGGTTTAATCTCCTACAGAATTTGTAATGTTACAAACTTCAAATGAAGTTTTTTTTATATATATTTCTGTTAAAAAGAAATTAAGAAATAAAGTTTCTTTCATTTTGTGGAACAAACAAATAAGTAAAACTAAAAACTTATATGTTATCAAAGCTGAAGTCATTCAAAGAATTTCTTGGTCATGGACTTTTCTTAATTTAATCAGCGTAATGGCTCTATATATAGTTTTTTAAAACTATAATTTCTTTAATAAACTTTACTTTCAATCCATCTGAGTTTCATTTTTCGATTCAATAGACTTTTCCTAAAGGCACAACAGAAAATGAAACACCGTTTGATTGAAAAAATGTTGACGAAGTTCATCTGAATTGTAACTTTCATTCCTAAATTGCAACGTTTTTACTTAAGATTAAATGTATCTAAAGTATTATGTATCACAAACATCTTATTCATCAAGAAACTTAAAATATAAATCATCCGAAGAAGAAAATAATGTTTTTAAGGATGCTTTTTAATCAAAATTTTCATCATATTTTTGTCTTTTTATAAATTATCTTTTTGGTATTGTGATAAAAATATCATAATATTCTCATTAAATTATTTAATTTAATGTGATAAATAATTAAAATATCTAATATTATATCATTCTTAATGTTCGAAAAATTATATATATTTTTAAAATATTTATGAACATACTTTTTTTCTTAAAAATCATAATTTTTATAATTTGTGATCATCATGGCATGGCTTATGGGTGTGTTGGGTTTCCCTAAAAAATCTAATCAATTCAATCATACCATTAGAGTGGACCTCAACTTTTCTTTGTTTGGTTTTCTTTTCGATTAAGCAAAAACAAATCTTTTATTATTTTTTTCATATTATTTCTGCTTTCAATTATACCTTTAATTTTGTTAAAAAGTTATCATCATAATAGGGCCAAAAAGATGGGGTCATTTAAAGAGAGTAAAAAACCACGCGTGTCTCCTAATAATTCATTGTAGATTCAGAGTATATATCATGCGCTCTACCCCAAAATATAACTAATGAAATAATTATATTTTGTTTCAATAACTGTTTTTAAAATATATAAATAATTTATATATGAATTATATTAATTAGCCCAAAATGTTTGTCTAGGTCCACTGCATAACTTTTTGAAACACATGATGCTACCTAATATTATCCAACCATTACTCGTATTTCTTCTTTATTCACATTTTTCTGTGTGGTCCTCCATATGTTTGTGTTGTGTGACTTTTATGATGAGGAGCTACTTCTAAAATACTTTTCAACAAAACCTCTTCATATAGAAATCAATAAAATTGAAGAAAAAGAATAGTCAAGAACGTAGAACTTTTCTTCCGGAGGAGAACGCTAAACAAAAAGCTTCTTTACCTTATCGTTGACCAAATACACTTGGTATCATAAAAGTCCTAAAGCGGAAGAGACAAATTAGGGTACCCGACAAAAACAAAAGCAAATGAATATTCAAAGAAGACCAACTATTTTCACATGAGACCTTAAGATTAGTTTTTGTTTTTGTAACGCTCATATCTTCTTCGGAAAATAATTTCCCTTCATAAATGTTTTTTATTTAAATATTAAACACATGATTATATGTTTAAAAAGTGAAAGTTAAAATAACTGCACTGTAAGCACAAGGTACTGTGAGGTGTTTACTGTACTTTCCATCCATTTGGCACAGTTTTATATTTATATTAAAGAGTAAATTAAATTAAATATAAACTTTAAATATTATATGGATTTGTTCGATTTTAATTTTTAAATCATATGAAACATAATAAATCAATATTTTTTGTATTTTAATTTGAATGATTTTTTCAATTTTTGTTATTAGAAAATTATTATACATAATTAATTATAATCTTTATAGTTATACTTTTTAGTTTAAATAATAATAATAATATATATTTAAATTAATAATAAATATTATTTATATTTTAATTTAAATTTTAATAATATATATTGTCATTTCAATTTAATTCTAATTGAATTGGTTTTTGTTATATAAAAAAAAATTGATCGATTTTTTTAACAATTTTTTTTCAATTTTTTTTTAAATTCTGCTTTGAACTTTCAAAATATATATATTTTCCAATTCTCTAAGGAACCAAAGTATTCTGTTAGTAAGGAGTCAAATTAATTAATTCAAGGTTGCGTGATTGTTGCGCGTGATGGAGCAGAAAAACTCTACTTAATTAACACCTACGCTTTCAAGATGTACGTACACACAAGGGTCGTTGGTAGAGGTAGTTTTTTTTTTTTTTTTCTGTTTCGAGTTACGAAAATTAGTTTTAATATAATTTATTTTAAATTATTATATTTAAATTAATTTAATTATACTAATTTTTTATGATAGTGCCTATGCGTCAAATCATGATCCATCGTTGTTAGCAATAAATTACCCACTTGACTATTGACAAAAAAAAAGTTAATTATTTTATTTTATGAATACTTGTATAATAACTCATAAATGTGACTCTCACTTTGATAATAGGTTATTAATTTACTTTTACTCACTTTATATAAAATAAGGATACGTTTAATAGAAAATAAAAAATATAAACAATAAATAAATGAAAATCAAAAATGTGTTCAGAATAATTTAAAAATTGAATTATTTTAATAATTACAAATTATAATATAATTGTTGATTATAATCAGATCAGTTTTTCTTTTCCCCATAAACTTCCTGAAATATGATTTTAACATAATTTATTTTATTTAATAAAAATTAATTTTTTACGTAAAAAAAATCGGGTGTCTGAAACTGAAGAGAAAAACCTAATAAAAACAAAAATTATCATGTAATACAATTCTTAGATTCAATAATAATAAAAAAAAAATCAACTTGTTTCAAAAAACTTACTAAATTGAATTGATTTATTAAACATCTAACTTTTTCTACGTTAAAAACAACTGAAAAGGAAATACAAAATTTGTAAACACAATCTGAATGAAACATGGAGTAAAACTAAAATGTTAATCTCACGTCTCTAAATTTATTTCCTCTATTTTTCTCCTAAAGTATAAATCTGCTTCACAAACGCGTTACACGGGTGTTTTTTTTTTTAACAAAATTAAAATTAAAAAAAGTAAAAAATTCAAAATAATAATAATAATAAATAGATAGTTGATTCAAAAGTCAAATAGAACTTAACCACTCCCAGTTAATGGTCCCTTCCCGGTACTGGAAGCGAAGGAAGGAAGGAAGAGAAAAAAAAAAAAAAAAGGGAGAGTGAGTGTTACCTGAAGCTCAGTGGTAACAGGGTACTCGTCCATGTCCACATAATTCTTATTAATGGCAGCCATGATGAGTTTATCACACTCAGGTTCCATCCATGTCGTCACAAACGATGCCAAGTTCAACCTCGGGTTCCCATCCAACATCAACTCATCGTTTATGATCTGGTACGCTGCTTCCTTCGGTATCGACTCCTCCGGCATCTTGAACCTGCGTTCTCTCCCCAAAACTAAAACATTAACTTCAGATCCACATGAAAAATACTCTCAAAATAGCGTATGAATTAGATTCATTTTAATGTGGAAAGAAAATCTGCAATATGACATGCCTGGGAAGCGAAGTTCTGACATAGCGGGAAGCGAAGGTGGAGTGGACGGAAACGTCGGATTCGGAGGCGGTTTTGGAGAGAACCATGTCGGAAAAGGAAAGAGTTTCGCAGATTGAAAGGTTGGATTTAAGAATTGAGAATGGAAGATATATGGTAGAGTGAAGAGTTTGGAGATATTTATATAGGACAAGTAGGCATTTAAATATTAACCCAATCACCACATCACAAATCAAATTTGGATTTAACTATTACACCCATATGTAATTAGTACTGATTCAAACATAGCATTAAAGTACAATCAATACATTTTAATTAAAGCATTATCTTTAATAAAACAGGTTTTACTTTTGCGTTACTTGTATTAAATTGAAGTAGAAGTTAAGCTTAAAATATTTTCATTGTTTAATGATATTTTATTACTACAGTGTCACACTCTTACGAATTTTATTATATAATTTTTTATACTGTATATGTTGTATTTAAATTATTAATAATGTAATTAATGTGAAGTAATTTTCAACTCAACACAATATACGTTATATTTTATCATTACATTTTTACACTCTCCATCTCATTGAACCTTCAATTCCAATATTTTACTATTCAACTCTTAATTTTGCAAAATTTATCGTCTAAACCATTAATTTCACGATAATTGATATTTTGGTTAATAAATTAAATAAAAAATTCATATTATATTTATTAAAAATAATGATTAATAATCGTTATTCTTGAACGTTAAATTATTTGTTTAACTTTTCTATTTTTTATACTAAGAAATCAATTTAAATTATTAAGAACTTAAATTTCCTTACTACATGATTAAAATCCTTCTTAACTTATATGTTTAATATATTACATGGACTGAAATTCAAATAGCAGTAAAATAATCAATATATTCATACAATAGCTATATAACAAGGTTAAATGAGAAAAATACATATAAGAAATATATATAAAAAAGGTATTTTTAAACAATAAATGTAATATAAATAATTAATATTAAATGTGAACACTTTTACGATTTTATTGAGATAGTTTTCGTTGTATAACTTTGTTACCTGAACTATTACAAATAGTTAAATAAATAATTTGAGAGTACAAATATTTTAAAAAAATTTATAATTAAACTAATTTAATCTAATACATGCTAGTTTAAATATAAAAGTTTTAAATTTCAAAATTTATATTCATTTTTAAAAAATGGATTTACAGTTTACTAATATTCTAAAAAATAAAAATTATTAACTTATTTCTAAAAATTCTTAAAATAATAATATAACTTTTTTGAAGTACAATTTGGTTTTAAATTATTTCAAATATTTTCTGCTTTTTTTTCATAAAATTATTATAATAGTAGTATATGTTATTTTAGTCACGAAATAGTATCCAAGCATAGGTCTATAATTTTGTTTTTGGCAGATTTACATGTTATTATAGGTACCCGAACACATGCGGACAAGTTTTGTGCACATTTATTTCAAAGGTTTAAATATCTTTTTAATGTCTATCTTTAGATATTTAATTTTTTTTTCTAGTTTTCATTGTTAAAACAAGTTTTTCTAAATATAATTTTGTGATGTGTTAGCTTAATTATAAATTGAGAAACTCTCTGTCTAATTTATACAAACATGAAGCAAAATATTAAATTAATAAAAATTTTGCTTTTTAATTATTAGAATGGAAGTTTGACTGGAAAATAAAATAATTCTCCATTTCTGTCATCTGATATATTCTAGTTTAGAGCCGTAGACTTTGTCTGACTTGACTATTTCTTGTCATAAGTCACACGTATCCATCACTTTCACATTCAAATCAATTAATATATTTTAAAAAATATTGTGCTTTACTTGTCTATATTATTTTGTTGTGTGAACACAAATTTTTAAACAAATACACCTAACACAAACATTACTGGAGTAAATAATAACAACTTAATCACACCCATTTGATCAACTATGGTAAATATTTCAAGATTGATGAGTTATTTAACAAAATTATTATGATACCAAAGATCAATTAACTTTACAAGTAGTGGAGGAATCTTTAGATATTCTGCTTCTGCTTTTATTAATTATTTTTCTTTTTATTTGTTGTGTACATAATATTTTTCATGCCAAGCTTTTGGATGTTATACTTGTTCTGAATTTTGCTACTTAGAAGGATGGTATTTATCTATAATTTTACTTCTAGATTTAATTGATTTTCATATCGTCTCCAATTTTTTTATATCTTTTTCTATTATATAGTATGTTGCATATAATTGATATACCCTAAAATATCAGCCTAGTTTAATTGCATGTATATAAGTATATATGTTTTTGCATAATTAATATATATAATATGGTTTGAATCAAATACGCGTTATAATATATAAAGAATATAACATATTTGTCGGTGACGGACCCACAACCACTTTGTCCAGATAACAGCCAATAATGATAATATTTCTTGAATAGTTTAGTTTATTATAAAAAATCTACAAAAGTGATTCCTTTGTGTAGTTTATTTTATCCTATCTAAAAAGTAATATACTTTTTTTTTAGTGTTATAGTACTTATTATTTTAAATATTGTATTACAAATTGATGTATGTTGTTATATTTTCTAATTATAAATATATATTTAAATCATAAATCTATGATTTCTTTCTCATTGATGAATTCCATTTTTTCCTACATTTACAGACAATATAATTTTTTAATACACATTAATTCCATTACATAAGTGGAAATATACTTATAAATCACAGTGACATTTTTTCAAAAATTTTATATTATTTGTTTTGATTGAAGATAAGTTAGTGTGCACTGTTGTATTAAATTTTATTTTTAATATTTCATTTTTATAAAAATATTATTTTATAAGTTTACAAGTAGATTAGAAATAATGAAGGGGGTAATATTTTTTATTTGCCCAAACATTTTGATGATGAAATTTATTTATGGTAGTTTTTAGTTTGTATTTGAACTAAGAAGTGTATTTGAAAGAATAGTGAATGAGATAAAGAATAGAAAATAGGATTGATTTAATTAAATTAAAGCCACGTGTGAAAAATGAGTGAAAAGATGATGTAAAACAATATTAATTTGATTTATTAAAAAAATAAACAATAAGATAAATTGATAAATTATTAAAATGTTTTTATTACAAAATTTAATAAAAATAGATATAAATTAAAATTGAATTATGATTTAATATGAAATAAATAAATAAAATTATTTTTCATATAAATTATAAAAAAACTATGATATGTTGTAGATATATTTGAACTTTACTTTATAAAAATTTATTTATTTTGTAGATATATCTTATAATAATTTATAAATAATATTAAAATTATAAAAAATTATTTAAATTACAATAAAATTGTGTATTTTATTAATAATTTTTGAAAATTAGAAAATAATTAAATTTATAATTATATTAATTATGTTAATTTTTTATATAATGAATATTTATTGTATTATTATAGACGTATAAATATTACCTAATAATATCTAAGTTAAGTTATACTCACTTTTAAAGGTGTATACCATTCTCCCGTGGCTACCGAATAAAAAAAATTACAATAAAACTTTAAAAAATGTATATACAAACCAAATCACCTAATATATAAAATAGAGATGTTGATAATATAAATTTTCTTTTATACATACATATCAGTTCAAAAGTAAACAAAATATAAATCTATATTAATTTTAGTTTCATACTTCTTCTTAAGGTTTATCACCTATGAAATCTATTATTGTGTAAACACATTATCATTACAGTTAAACACACATACAAGTACACGCAAATAAGTTAGTAATTCAATTTAAATATGTAATATTCAAATGTAAGATAAAAAAACATAATTTAACTTTAAATTTATATCACATCACATGTCCTTACAAGCTCACATTCACGCAAACATTATATGACTTTTAGAAGACTAGATATTAAAATAGACATGAGAGATTTGTACATATCACGTCACAATTCCACCAAATGCATAACACAAGGGTGCTCAATTTAGTATGTACACTCACATACGAACAAAATAAATTTGTAAATGACTTATCAAGACAGTTTTTTTTCACACTGCAGGCTAAGTCATTAGAAACCTCCTTCAATTCTTACCACTTGATCCTTTCATTATGTAATTCCAATGATTAGTAGAATTAGGATATCTCCTCGAATCCCAATTTAATATGTATACATATAACACTACACACGTGAGAATACTCATTGGTAATTCTCATATCACAACACAATATTTTTTAAGGCATATAATAGTATTCAACATATATAATTTCATGTTTATAACATGTATTTTAATAACTTAAGACACAAAACACATCATTTTTCAAGTTATAATAAAATATATATTTTTTATAATTTGACTTCAATCTATTATTTTGATTGAAAAAATTTTTTTAGACAATCTTTTTAACTATTTTTTATTTTATTGGAATTTTTTTTCAGGGGTTCTATTTGCGTATATAAAACATTAAATTTAGAGTTTGAAGTTATTTTTTATAATTTTTTGAAAACTATTAAGCAAGTTTCAAATGCTTTAACATTGTTTTAAATTCGGTGGGCGGATTTGTGACAGTAGTAGCAAACTGCAAAATCTGCTGAAAACCATGTTTCTAATGTTTTAAATCACATTAATTCTAAACCTTACCCTCCATATCATAAATTCATTCACTAATTTTAATTTAAGAATAATACATTCATACAAATGACTATTTTTTTCAATCTCGTATAAATCAATTATACATTCACATTCAATATAATCATCACCGATCAACACATACATAATCACGACAATCAAAATTCTTGAAACTTAAACAATATGACCAAGTCGCCTTCACAATTCATATCTTTTAACATAGAGTATGATAAAATTTGAAGAATAACTAACTTTCATTATCTTAATACATTGTCTTCAAGTTTAAGAAGACAAAAAACTCCTAAATTTTTTAAAAGATAGATTTTACTCACAAAATAACTCAAATTAATAAATTGAACATATTCCAATACTCTTAAACTAGTCAAAATTAAATTTTTCACAACAAAATTTACATACAAGCCTCACTAGGACCCACGTACAAACCTAAAATATGCAAAATGGTGTAAAAGTAAAAAAGATAAAACTTACTATATTCAAAATCTTTATCGGATAAAATTGATCTCATTTCTTTCAGAACAATAAGATGTGCTTGAATTTAGAAAATGAAGAAAAATAAAATAAAAAATTTAAAGAGATGACGATTTTGTAAGAATAAAATTTAAATATTTAAACTTTTTTATTTATAATTATTTTTAACTTAAACCATAAAAACTTTAAATTACTTTTATTATATGACTTATCCTCTTAACTTGTTCCTCCTCACATTCTCATAATAATTTTAATTAAAATTCATCATTATAATTAAGAAAATATTAATAATTTCTAAACACTGTAATTTTATTTGGACTGGAAATGAATTTTACCAGAATAAAAAAGTTGTAATATTTTATTATGTATAATTTAATATCAATTTTTTATTTACTTATATATATATATATTTAAGATAATCTTATTTATAATTATAATTTTTTTTATAAAAAATAATAATTTTTATGTTCATAATAATAACGAATTAAATGAAAAATTAAAACAATATAATTACTGATAGTATATTCTGAAGTACATTTTTTTTCTCTGCTCTCTTTCCCTCTTATCAAGTTAACTAGAGTCTTTTATCTTTGTTCCTTAGGACTATTTGTTAAGTGTATTTAACAACGTTTTTAGAGGTAGTCGAAGGAGAAATAGTAAAAGAAAATAAGTTTTTAATTTTAAGAATTAAAATAAATAAATTTAGTGCTCCTAAATAAAGCAAAATAATGAATAGATTAGCACAGTAATATTCATTATTTTGAGAACATAACTCTTTTGGTGAAAATTATATTTTATATCACTCTACGGCAAATTACGAAAACGACATAAACCGAAAAAATAACGAAGAAAACAACAATTACGGGGACCATCTCAAATTGACAGACAACAAATAAAACACGAACCTCAGAAGTCCCAATTCTGAATCCGTCTATTTCTTTTGGAGGAATATGCTTTATACATAATATTTTTCTCATTTTTGGGAAAAGAGTACTAATTATTTTATTAAATAATTTAATTTTTAAATAATAAATATTTCATCACGTGTTTATAAGCCCACCACACTACAAACGTCCATAATACAAAGTTTAAGAATAAAATGCGTGTGGGTTCACCATTTTTTTTTTCTATATTTCACAGTACAATAAAGAAAATCACAGTTTACCTAGAGTTATTATAAAATGCATTTAATTAATGCTTCAACAAGAATATGTGTGAATAAAGTTAGAGACAAGTGACTAGTTATGGAGCAATCATCGCAGATAATAAAAGAATTTAAGTTTTATCTATATATATAATAAATAATTTTACTAAACACCATATATTATTGACATACATTTTTTAAATTAATTAAAAACAATACAATATATATATATATATAGGTTCTGAAGGCGCTTCAACGTCGGTTCAGAGCTGACGTGGAAAGTTATCATACTTTCAACGTCGGTTTATTTAACCCACGTGGAAAGTCCGATTTTTCAAATTAAATTTTTTTATTTATTTCCAACCTTTCCAACCCTCTATTTATCTAGAAATCCCTCTCTCTTTTATATTATATTTTTATTAGGTCCCTCTCTCTTTTATATTATATTTTTATTATTTATCATATTTTTTTTAAGTTTAAAGCATTACCAAATTATTTTTTTGTCAGCGACGGATTCGAACCAGGACCTTAGTGTTGGAGGCTGATACTCCAACCATTAAACTACTTCGAATTTTTTGATAGTAACTTACAAATAAATTATATTTATATACAAATAAATATATATCCGTGTAAATATATAAATACAAATATATTTATATATTTTGATATATTTATATAATTATATATTTATATATTGGATGTGAGGGCACGCTCAAAGGTGAAAGTGTGTGTCGAGTGGATTTTCAAAATTTGATGCCAAATTTGTGAGCGAGTCTCTTTATATGAGTTTGTAATTTAATGACAGAATATAATATTTATAATTTATTTATATAATGATATAAAATAAATTTGGGAAACGCATCATTCGCTCAAGTGACACATTCGCTCAAGCGAATAATACCAATTTTCGCTCAAGCTAGGCTTGAACGAGTGAATTTCTGTGAGCTTTAATTAACGTATTTTCACTCAAACGAGAGTCAATCTCACTTTCACCCTCGATCGCGCCCTCACATCCAACATAAAAATATATAAATATATCAAAATATATAAATATATTTGTATTTATATATTCTATATTTATATATTTACACGGATATATATTTATTTGTATATAAATATAATTTATTTGTAAATTATTATCAAAAAATTATAGTAGTTTAGTGGTTGGAGTATCAATTTTCAACTCTAAAATACTATATTTGAATCCTATCAGTGACAATTCTCTAACTTAAGTGAATTTTTTACTGAAAAAAATAAAAACACTTTCCGGAAAATATATATAAATAAATATATATTTACACGGATATATATTTATTTGTATATAAATATAATTTATTTGTAAGTTATTATCGAGAAAATTACGAGTAGTTTAGTGGTTGGAATATTAGCTTTCAATTTTAAAATACTGGGTTCGAATCCTGTCAGTGACAATTCTCTAACTTAAGTGAATTTTTGGCTGAAAAAAAATAAAAACACTTTCCAGAAAATATAAATAAATATATATTTATTTGTATATAAATATAATTAATTTGTAAGTTATTATCGAGAAATTACAGTAGTTTAGTGGTTGGAGTATCAACTTTCAACTCTAAAGTATTGGGTTCGAACCCTGCCAGTCATCGAGGAACCGACGTTGAATGTGTCAATAAAATGACATTCAACGTCGGCTCAGATGAACCGACGTTGAAAGTGTCCATAAAAAGACTTTCAACGTCGGTTCATCTGAACCGACGTTGAATGTACTTTCTACGTCAGCTCAGCTGTTAACCGACGTTGAAAGCATATTTTGTAGTAGTAGTATATATATATATATATATAATATTATATCTAAATTTTATCATGTATATAACATCACTTTTCAAAATTGTTATACACAATAAATATTTTCAAATTCATACCAGTTAAATGACAATGTAAATTTATTGCCAATAAAATCGTTAAATTATTAGACTAAATGACAATTTTAATATATTGTTAACTTCTGATAGAGGATTTTGTTCTTTTTTTTCCTTATGTTTTTAGTCTTTTGATTTTAGGAAATTCACAATTTTTGTTTTGTCTTCAATTATACATACATATTTTGTTATTTTAATTAATTAAATTATTTCTTGATGACATCTTAAATAGATAGGTTAAAGTCAAAGGTTTGGTTGGACCAAAATAAAGAAAAAAAAGTAAGCAAAATTAAATATTGTACCAAAATTACATTTTGTGTTAAATGGAAATTAAAATCATAAAAACAATAGAAAAATTACAAATCTTTGTTAAGAAATTAAAGAGAGATTAAAATTATAATGGAGAATATAGTTCACACTTTTTGGAAAATATTCGATGTGTGAATCTCTTATTTATATATTCTTTAACTTTGGTATTTTTGACTCATAAAATAGATGATAAATGTGGTAGAAGATTTATTTGGCAGCATAAAGATAGTTTTCCCACTTGGAAAAGCAATGACGAAAGTTTATGTGGCATAGAATAAGAGAATAGTAGCTTTCAGAGCTTGGAATGCACCACAACTCACATCTTTCAACTGTATATTAATGTGAATAGCCAATGGTTTTGATCATATAGTGGGTCTGAAGAATAACTTTGGTCACCAATTCTTCCTGCCACTTGATGACTTCATCAGCAAAACTTAAGCCTTTGATGGTGGAAGCTTATCATCATTAAATGGCCTTAAGATAGAACAACCCAAAGCCAAGATTCTTTTGGAGATTATTCAAATTCGACTCGTTAAGCAACACTGTTCTTCAGAATAATGTTTTTGCATATTTGTTCTCAGATTGGTTACGAAAAGCTTTTAACTTTTGCCATTATATATGGTAGAGATTATATATTTTCACTATTTCTTTTAACATGTTTCTTCTACTTTCTGAATATGACCCACTGCACTGTCACAAGCTACCTGCCTAACGTACGAAGAAGGAAATGTTGAACAGACAGTAGCATTCCTCTTATCTTCCACGTTTTGATACCGTGTTTAGAAATAAAGACAAAAAATAATTTATACAAATATATTTTTCTAATTTGTGAAAAACATCTTTTAAAATAAAATTATAATACGTTAGAATTTAAAAATCGGAAAATATACTTTAAAAATCATAATAAAGCTTACCAATTTTATCGTAGTGGAAAAGTCAGAAGAATAGTTTGATTGTAGAAGGAAGAAGAACACATAAAAAAAAAAAATCCATAATAAAATGTAGGTTGAAATGTTGGAGGGGTATAGTAAAGTGTTGTTTGAAAGAGGGTTAGGGTTTGAGATGAAAGAAGAGGAGCATGAAATAAGGGAGGAAAGAAGTGATCACGTGGCAACCCCCGTGCTTCTGGTTGCACCATGAGTTTTGCGGACAGTTAAGTGCAGAGACAGTTAAGTGTAGGTAGTAGGTAGTAGTATATATATCACAGATTACTAAGATTGAGAACGTAAATTTATTAACAAATTGAATAGGAATTAAGATGATGGCGGTGAAGGTGTACGGTGAAACAAGGGCAGCATGTCCTCAAAGAGTGATGGTGTGCCTCTTGGAGAAAGGGGTGGAGTTTGAAGTTGTGCACGTTGATCTTCATCAAGGACAACAAAAGACACCTCAATTCCTTCTCCTACAGGTCCACTCACCCTACCTTCATTTTCTTAAATTTTGTTCTCACTTTCAATTTTACTTTACAAATCTTTGCTAATCCGTTTTAATTAATTATTCAAAATTTCATCACAGATCTATCTATTCAAACCTTGATCCCGTAAATCTGATATATTTATTCAAAATTCAATTCACTCCATTTATTAAATTTATTTTATTATATATGAATATCCCATCCATCCATAAAAATAATATTTAAATAAAGTATATAAAAATTTAAAATTATACTTTTAAGAAACTCCAAAATAAAGATTGTAAAAAGAAAATTGAAAATATATTTCTCAAAAATGGTTGAAATATTTTCATCGTTAAATATTAATGGGAGGATATATTCAATTTAAAAAATATTAGATAAATCATTATTCATAAAATATATGAATGTTGATTTAATTTATTTTTTTATATTTTCATTATGGATGTATTTATATTTGATGAATAATGATGGATAAATGAATCATTTTGTCATTTTATACTAAGTAGAGGTAATATAAGAATTTGCTAATAATTGAAATTTTAATAGAGCCAATTTCATGAATTCCAAATAAATATGATTTAATGACTTTTATAGAAGGTGGATAAAATTATCACATAATCAATTATGCCTTTAAATAATAATAATAATAATAATGATAATAATAATAATAATAGTAATAATAATAATAATTGATTATGTGGTAATTTTTTAAAATACTTTTATTAAAAAAATATTCAATAATAAATAATTAAAAATCAATATTAAATATAATAAATAAATAAATATATTATTATTATTATTATTTATTTTATTTATTTATATATTTTTTAAAATTTAAACAATCTTACGTTTTTATTAATTTTATTTAGTACTTATTTTCTTTTTTATTAATCTACTTTCCAATTTAAATATAGACTTAAAGCTAATAACATTTGAGACAAGATCTATCAATATGACTTGTTTATTAAGTCAAAATATTGTATCATTAATGTGTAATTGGTTAAAAAATATATTTTAAAGAAATATATAATATTAAGACTTGTTGGAACGATAAGATAAATAATCATAATACTTTTGAAATTTGTAAAATCTAATTTTTCAATAAAATGGTCTGGTCATGAAAAGTCAATTAGAATTGAAAAGTTTATTTTGTATTTTAAGAAAAACTGTTCACAATAATTTTTCATGTAAAAATATGTTAATTGTCATTTATTATTTAAAGTAAAAATAATTTTATAAAATAATAATTTTACTTTTTTTCGTTCAATAAAAGTGAAAAGGTTATAATTACTTCCATTTATTTTACTGTATTAATCAATTTTTTTCTCTAAAAAATATCTATGAATGGATATAAGATTTATTATTTTCAAGACGTGCAAGATGTATATTGAGTTTTTGTAAAAAAAAAAAAAAACTCCTAAAATATGTAAAATAATAATAACAAAACATTTTTAAATGTATATCCCAATTTTCAAAATTAGGTAGAGATATGGCACTAAATCAAAAGTTCAACAAATGATCAAAATAAGATGAATAATGATTTAAGGGTGTTACATTTGGTGCAGCCTTTTGGTCAAGTTCCGGTTGTGGAGGATGGCGATTTCAGGCTCTTTGGTAAGAATGCATCCAAATATTTTGGGCTTAAACCTTTTTCTGTTTTTCCCGTTTGAATGATCTTCCAACACAACCTTATTTTTAGTGTGATTTATGCAGAATCAAGAGCTATTATAAGGTACTATGCAACAAAATATGCAGATCGTGGTGCTGACCTATTGGGAAAAACCTTAGAGGAAAGGGCTTTAGTGGAGCAGTGGCTTGAAGTAGAAGCACACAATTTCAATGATTTGTGCTTCACTTTGATGCTTCAGCTTGTGATCCTACCAAGGATGGGTAAGGTTGGGGACTTGGCCTTGGCACAAAAATGTGAGAAGGATCTTGGGAAGGTGCTTGATGTGTATGAAAGTAGGCTCTCTCAAACCAAATATCTTGCTGGGGATTTTTTCTCTTTGGCTGATCTCAGCCACCTTCCAGGGCTTGGACATCTCATTGAGGAGGCCAAAGTCGGCCACTTAATCACTCAGAGAAAAAATGTCAATGCTTGGTGGGACAATATTTCCAGTAGGCCAGCTTGGAAGAAGTTGAAGGATATGGTTCACTAATTAAAACACAGACTAGTTATTATATGGTTTGTAATTTATAACCATGATGGTTATATTTATTTCTGGTTTTCTTTTGCTGAGATTATGGTTTTTGTATGGGTATGGTGTGTGACAAGTATTAATTAAGGAATGGAGGTGTTATATGTTATTTGCTAAACAATTTCATATGTAAGATGTTGAATGATCAAGAATAAAAGTTCATATATTCATAATGGAGTTGTTACATCTTTATTCAGAACTTCCCATCTATTGCTTTATATATCATTTTATTGCTAAGTTTATTTAGTTCTTAGAAAAAGGTCATTTGGATTTTAAATTCAAACTTGCCACATATCAAGTGTAACATCTCATAATTAATGTAAAATTTTTAGGTATTTTAAATAATTTATGTAAATATATATATATATATATATATGAAAATTAATAATAATAATTATTATATACTATTATAATTAAAATGTAATAATATAATATGAATTAATAATTATTATATATTATTATTAAAAAAGAAGATAATCTTATCTCTTTTACAAGAAGAGATAAGTTTTAACATGAAAATAATATTTTAACAAAAAGATACAAGAAGAGTCATTAATGTTAAAAAAAAAAAATCTTCCTATATAAAGGATCAAGGAAAGAAGAAGAAAGGAGAACGAGAGAAGGAAAAGAGAGAGGAGAGAAGAGAATGAGAGAGGAAAGAAGAGAAATAAAATAGAGACAAATTTTGGTATACTATCTCGTAATATTGAGGTAGGGGAGAAGACATTTATCAATATTTTTTTTACTTATAGTGTAGAGTGAGGTGTCCCTAACCTCATTCTATTTATTTCTTTTATTTTAATTATCTCAGTTATGTATTGGTCATGTCTTATGTTTAATTTATTCATCTCTAGTCTTGCACTAGTCTTGCTTCATGTTTATCTTTAATCTTGCACTGATCTTATTTATCTTCAATTATGCACTTGTCCTATTTATTAACTTATATTTATATTATTTAATTAATTTTTTTATATAATATCTATTTGTGAAGATTTGATTATATTGTAGATGGAGGTTAAACCTTGGGATTGAAATAAGTAGTTATCATTGGGAATATGGTTAAAATTGGGTTCATTTATCCTGACTAGTCACTACAAATTTAATTTAAATTTTCATAAAATAGAATGATTTGAGGAAGTTGAAAATATATATATGTTATAAGATTATATTATTTTAAATGATAAGTGTTCTCACTCCTTATTGTGATCTTTTATGCATGGTATATTTAAATATCAACTTAAATAGATGGAGGTGTCAAATATCCCAAATCCTAGCATCATCGCCTTTTGTATCAAACGTCATTGACAACTCAGTTACTTTTAAAGGGACAAAATTATCAATATTAACATTTGCATCTGACATGGAAACTTCAATTATGCTAGATGAACCAATAGTGATTACCTTTTGTATGCCTTTCACCATTCACCAAAACCCCTTAATCAGTTTGTTTTCACCGACAATGTAGATATTTATATAATTGTAGTAAGAATAGAAGGAATAAAAAATAAATAAAATTCCTTCTTCTTTTATATATCCTGTAGAAAAAAAATAGTAATGTAAATTACTTTTACATATATATAAAATATTTTTATTTAACCTACTACTCTTGTTAAATAATAATTAAAAAAATAAAATAATAAAAGGCGTCACATTAGATGGTATCGGAGCAACGTTTCATGTGTGACCTGTTAAATGATCTTATCATGAGATCTTATGAACCTTAACTTATATAATTTCGGATAACAAATAATAGGAGGAACAACGAGTTGACAAAAGTGGTACAAGTTATCCGAGACATGGTCGCTGCATTATTAAGGAACCAAAGACATGAAGGAAACAATAAATCACAAGGTTTAGTTGAATTTAGGAGAAACAAACCTCCACAAATTTATGGAGGTTATAACCCAGAAAAGGCAGAATTATGGATTAAAAAAATTGGAAAATTTATTTCAAGTTATGAATTGTCCTGATGACCAAAAGGTGAATTATGTTGTGTTTATGTTAATAGGAGAAGCTGAATATTGGTGGGATAGTATTAGGAGATTACTAGAAGGAGGAAGAATAATCATTACTTGGGAAGTATTTAGAACAAAATTTTTAGAAAAATATTTTCCTAATGATGTAAGAAGAGCAAAATAAATAGAGTTTATGCAATTAAAGTAAAAAGGTATGACAGTAGGGGAGTATGTCTCTAAGTTTGAAGGGCTAGGAAAATACTCTGCTTTCTTTTATCACCCTGATAAAAGAATGAAGTGTATAAAATTTGAGAATGGACTTAGACCTGAATTGAGAAAAATAGTAGGAATATTAGAAATTTCTGATTTTCCTACGCTTATTCATAAGTGCAGATTTTTGAAAGATTTCGAAAATCATCAAAATAGTAAACCAAAATATTTTGGATCCCAGCAAAATAAAAAGAGACAAAATGAAGGAAAACCCTACAACTGCCCCCAATGGAGATCCCAACCCAATCAATTTTCTACAGGAAATTTTAATAACCATATAAATAATAAGCTCAAGTATTTTAAGTATGGACATTATCATTATGCTAAAGATTGTCATCTTAAAGGACCTGTCTGTTTCAAGTGTGGGAAACCTAGTCATATATTCTCTGAATGTCGACAATAAAAACCAAATTCTAATCCTTCTGCATAAAAAACAAGACCTCCGACAATAGGAAGAGTGTATACCATGACTGGAACTGAAGCCTCTCAAAATAATGATTTGATCCAATGTATGTGTTTCATTAAAGGCAAAACTTTAAATGTATTGTATGATTCAGACGCAACCCATTCATTCATTTCAAATGATTGTGTCCAACACCTTGAATTGTCAACTTCTTTTCTAGATACTAGTTTAATTGTTTCAACTCCCACAAGTAAGTCTGTAATCACCAATAAAATTTGTCTAGATTGTCCTTTGTTCATTAAAAATAGGAAATTTCTTGTAAATTTAATATGTCTACCTTTATCTCAATTGGATGTAATCTTGGGTATGAATTGGTTATCTTCCAATCAAGTCCTTATGAATTGTGCAGAAAAATCAGTAATATTTTCAAAATCTGAGGATCTTTTGAATTTCTCTACAAACTCAGTAAATAAGTCTTTGAGAAACAAAATTCAAGGATATTTGTTACTATCTTCTGTAGAAGTAAAAGAGAAAGTCGATTTGAAAAATATAGCAGTTGTTTAAAATTTTCCTGAAGTTTTTTCTAATGATATTCCTGGTTTACCACCCAACAGAGAGATTGAATTTTCAATAGATTTGATGCCTGGAACTGGACCAATTTCTATGGCACCATATAGGATGTCACCTTCTGAACTAACAGAACTAAAGAAACAATTGGAAGAATTACTTGAGAAACAATTTATTCGTCCTAGTATATCACCTTGGGGAGCCCCTGTTTTGTTAGTTAAGAAGAAAGATGGAAATTTTAGGTTGTGTGTAGATTATCGTCAGTTAAATAAATTCACAATAAAGAATAAATATCCTCTTCCAAGAATAGATGATTTGTTAGATCAACTAAGAGTGTTTTCCAAAATAGATTTAAGATTAGGTTATCACCAAATTAGAGTAAATGTAGAAGATGTACAAAAAACTGCATTTAGAACTAGGTATAATCATTATGAATACCAAGTGATGCCTTTTGGTGTGACCAATGCCCTTGCAATATTCATGGATTATATGAATAAGATTTTTCGTCCATTTTTAGATCATTTTGTTGTAGTTTTTATAGATGACATCCTTATTTATTCTGGGCTTGGCAGGATATTATAGGAAATTTATTGAAGGATTTCTAAAATGACTATGCCTTTAACCCAACTCACCAAGAAAGATCAAGCTTTTGAATGGACAGAAAAATGCAAAAATAGTTTTCACGAACTTAAGAAAAAATTAACTGCTTCTCTTGTACTAGCATTATCTAACCCAATCGGACATTTTGTGATATTTTGTAATGCTTTAAAAATGGGATTAAGATGTGTTCTTACGCAAGATAGAAGGGTAGTTGCATATGCTTCAAGACAATTAAGAACACATGAGAAAAATTATCTAACTCATGATTTAGAACTAGCCGCCATCGTTTTTACACTCAAAATATGGAGACATTATGTGTATGGTGGTAAGTTTGAGGTTTTTAGTGATCATAAAAGTCTTAAATACTTGTTTGATAAAAAAGAGTTAAATATAAGACAGAGAAAATAGATGAAATTTTTGAAAGATTATGATTTTGAACTATATTACCATCCAGGAAAGGCAAATGTAGTGACAAACACTTTAAGCAGAAAATCTTTACATATCTCTTCCCTGATGATTCATGAGATGAATCTACTAGAAAATTTCAAAGACATGAATTTGTTAATTACCATGAACCATGATAGAATTAAATTAAACTCAATTCAAATTACTAGTGATTTACAAAAACAAATCCATGAGGCTCAGGTAAGTGATGAATTTATTCAAAAGAAAAAGAAGTTGATAGGACAAAAGAATGGAGAAAAATTGGTCATAGATAAAGCCAAAATTTTGAGATTTAGTGGTAGGATATGTGTGCCTAATAATGTAAAGATTAGAAAGTTAATATTAGACGAAACATATAAGAGTAAATTAAGTATACATCCAGGCACAACAAAATTGTATCAAGATCTTAAAAAAATATTTTAGTGGTCTTAAATGAAGAAATAAGTGACAATATGTAGTATCATGTTTAGTTTGTCAAAAAGCTAAAATAGAACATCAAAAACCTGCAGGAATGTTACAATCTTTAGACATACCTGAGTGAAAATGTGATAGTATTGCAATGTACTTTATAGTTGACTTACTACGAACAATTCAAAAATTTGATTTCATATAAGTTATTGTTGATAGATTGACAAAGTCTGCGCACTTTCTACCCATTAACATTAGATATTCATTGGAGAAACTGATTGAATTATACATAAAAGAAATTGTGAGGTTACATG